GATGCGCGTCGACGTGTCATTCCACTAACGCACTGAACAATGTACGTATATTTCGATGTGGTTTTAATTGAACGTTACCCTCTCACTGGCCCGTTGTTTTAAGTTATTGTCCGCCCTTTTATTGATGAAATCGTTATAAAACTGATACGTATTCTGACGCAATATTTGTAGAAAAGTTATCATTTCTCCTAGAGCATAGTTTTCCGTTTCTACGATAGAATAAATGTTATTGTATTTCCGATTAGACATTGAAAATGTCTATATAGATTGGTGGCTAATGGAAGTAAATTTGATATTGCCGAAGGACTAAAAGGGAAATAACAAGAAGGTTTATGGATTTTACACTTTATAAAGATACCGATAGTAGGCTATACGCGCGTGCCGGGCGCGTATACATGTTAATTTATGCAAATGCTCTTGCTAAAATTTGTTTGATCGAGCGCTTAATTACAATTTCAAATTGAATCAATCTTAGCGCTCTTGTGCGATTCACTCTCTCTATCTCTCTCTCTCTCTCTTCGCTAAGGTGCACCCTGACTAATTTATTTTGATTAAAAAATTAATGGGCCGTCCCTCCTTATGTGCGATGAGAGTTTTTCAAATTATGCCAAGAGATATTTTGAAATTACAATCAATTTTTGCACCAAGGACGTCGTCTTCCTTTTTCAACCCGGCTTCGAATACTGTCATCATACTCCATTTCCTTGTTTTTTTTTATTTATTTTTTTTTTCGAGTTCATGCGCGCAAGAAAAGAGGAGAACGCATTAAATTGGACGCATTTTCTCATTAGGCTGTTGTTACACGCAGGCGTGCGCTCGCGCTAAAAATTACAGGGGTGCCCTTACTCATTGCCGGAGCACTTCTAAACGAGCGACTGTTCCATCAGCGTTTCTCACTTTCGAGAGATAACTCGCTTCGTCTTGTTTCTTTTTACCAGGCGATGTTTTGATATATTTTTACAAGACTAATTACGATCAAACGATATAATAAGAATTTCATTAATTCTAATTAGTTGACATATTTACAATATCTCTATGTTCTTGCTCGTCACATATTGGATAATCATCGAGTAATAAACATATTAAATCTTGTGTTGACGATTGATTATACCATTTACGAAGATGTCATATCTATATGACGAAATTGTAAGGTTTATTTGATAATTATTTTCAAATTGCATAATTATTATGTATATGACATATTAAAATTGACAATCTTGAACAAAAAATTCTATTTTATACAAAACTTTATGATGGATATTTTTTTTTGCATAAATAATTCGCTATTTTATATAATGTTTTGAAGCTTTACTTCATTTTGCCATATTTCATATTTGTAGATGCGTATGCCACGATATAGTCACATGAAGCTAATTAAAAATAATATGAAATTTTAACGTCGGCATATATTTGTAAGTCATATATTTGCGAACGAAGAGTAAAGTGAAAGCGCCAGCAGCCTATGTCTGCGAGTAAAGCAAATGGAAGTTTAATGTCACAAGCCCCCAAGAAGTATATCTCTGACATCCTAAAGACTCGCAGAAAGATATCCATAGCGGCGTGCAAACCGGATTAAAAGGTCTTATCCATTAGGCGTACGACGACGCCGACTCGTCGTTATGGGGGTTAAAGCGCCAAGGAATTAGCCTTTTTTAATATCGCACCATCGCCTTTGTCTCATTAGATTTTTTTGCCTTATACTCTCTCGCGTCGATGTATATGCGGTCGAGGCTTAAAAGGATTCGGCAATAAACAAGGCTAAGGTCTCGGAATTAGACGCCAAGGGCGCGCGCGAGCGTACTGGCCGAGAAGCGACACTGCACATAAAAATCCCCTGCGGCGTTATTCGCAATGCTACGAGGGTGGCCGTGGACATTAAATCAGATCCAAGGAGTGGAAATGCGACGACGTTTCTTTTTGTTCTCCATAAAAACGAAGCTACTATGAGAACAATCGAAGCGTGGAAAAAAATTGAAAGTTAAAGATCCGCAAGAAATTGGCTGCATGGTTAATAATTAGTAGGAACGTCTTTTGAGTAATTTGTGAACGTATAGAGTAAATCACCGGGGTCCCGTCTGTTCGCGGCATTAGTGAGCGACCGCTGTCATCTTTCAAGAGAAAAATTCTCTTTGGCGTGTATTCGAGCCCGGGGAATCATTCACATAGAGCTTCGTAAAACATCGTTGATGGCGGGCACGACCGCATACATCACTCAAACTTTATATATTGCCAGGAAAAATCGTGAACTCCAACTAATTTCCGCATAAGAGGCGAGCACGCGCGCGCGCATTATTCGCGACTCGCGAACATACCAACAATCGATCATCATTCGTAGATATACCTCGTCGTAAAGAGCGAGTCGATAGATCGATCGATCCATCGATCGATCTCTCCTCGAGAGAGGCATAAATCGAGCGTGACGCGGATATTGGCGTCTCTGAAAGTCTGTGCGCCTCGCCAAATTTTTTGTACGCCTATCCGCGCGGGGCAGAAGCGCGCGCTTGCCTTGCACGGGACTCACTCCCAAGAGCCACGGTGGGGTATAATGTAAGTGTATCTAATTACCGAGGCGTTTACGTCGACGTTTACCGTGATTTACGGCAAAATTGTGGCGCGCGACCTTTGCCGCCGCCGAGCTATAACATATACAGGGCAAGGCGAAAAAAGAAGCGCAGCGATGCTCCAAAGGATTCGCTCATTTATCATGGAGAGAGAGAGAGAGAGAGAGAGAGAGAGAGAGAGAGAGAGAGAGAGAGAGAGAGAGAGAGCAAGCGAGAGGTTCCCTCTGCCTTGGGGCCCGTGCTGCATGGGAATGAAAGTGGGAGAGGGCGAGGAATATAATCCCCTTGGACAGGCTAATCGTAAGCGCGGCGAGCCATTATAGGCTCTGAAAAACTGCGACGTGTGGGCTATTTGGGCCTAGAATCGCGCAAGGTTACGGGCTGTACTTTGGCCCTTTTTTCAGCCGTTGCCGTACGCTTGCACACGGATAACGTTTTGGGTAAACACTGGCGTATGCACGAGTCGTGCCGCGTTGATGATGCATGGCTTCGCGTCGCGAGCGCGCGCTCGCGGTGATTAATGCGCGCTATGCTCAAGGGACGCGGGGATATATGCTTAATATGCCATAATATGAAAATTGGAATCTGATTACAACACTCTCGAGCCCTTCAAATTAATAAAGATATTTATCTTCTTCGTTTTCTTCTTTTTTTTTATTCTATGCCTCGATTTACATCTAATGGCTAGCTTTTTACGTTATATTTCGCGCAATGCATCTGCAGGTTTTTCTTTGTTGTCCCACTCTTTTAACTACTGTAAGTATAAAAGAAATACTTCCGCAAGTTAGAACCCATTTAATTGCTGTAGTTATTTGTATACATATTTAGGCCTTAATTTTGCTGAAAATTTCAGGAGAACGAATATGTTCAATTGTTGGCCACATCCTGTACGAATGTTTAGTTAGTAGAAAGCACTTGGAAAAATAATTATGATGATAATCGTAGATCTTCCGACCGACGTAGGCCCTACAAACGAAAAGATGCAAGAAGTATAAAATCGATCGAAGATAGAGAGAACGTCAATCCGTACGAAGAACAACAGCAGCAGCCTCGGAGTCACGTCGTTTTGCGCGTGTTAGAGAGGTACACACATAACGCCTCTAAAATTACAGAGTGCCACAGGGGCCATCCATCACCACATGGAGCTTTCGCGTACAAGCACGTAAGCGAATATAAGAATGAGAGAGAGGACCCCGCGTGGCTCTCTGCGCTCAGTAACGCCCCAGCATTTAAGTCGTTAGCAATTTCCTGCGCGGGACTAGTTTCGCTGGGCCCCCAAATTCCATATGGTCTGATAATGCTCGATATTATGTGAGCGAGAAAGGGCCCCGGAGAACGATTCGCAAAATCGATCGGTCCGATCTTCATCACCGTAATTTCTCCGTTCGAATGTCTTTTTTTTTCGCCTTGATGCCGCGCGCGCATCCTCTTTGCAGCACGCGCACGCGTGCCTTACCTGCCTTTGCGCAGCCAAGCTTCTTCGCTTCTTGAGAGACAGGATGTTCGACTGATGGGAACGCCAAACTTTTTAGGATTTTAACGACGCACTGTGTACTTGCGCGAAGATTAATTGGACATAGTTTTCGCAAATTTTCAATTCTTCACTTGCGCAAAATAAACCTGTAATATAGGTAATTATTATTATACTTTATTTTTAAAACTGAAAGAAGCAGTGCCACTAGATATAGATATCAAAGTTGCCAAGGTTTTTGTCATATTATTGGCAGATTGAGTCCTTTTCATTTGTAGCAAACAATATTAACAATAGTGTTTCGCATCTAATTTTAAAGAAAATTAACAACTCGTATTAACTAACTCTAAATTCGTTAGTGCATAACGAGATTACTTAATATAAATTAAGAATATTCCTAAACAATTGTATGATGTTCTCCTCTCTGTAATATATGTATAATACGCTAGAAAGCAGCACTTTACGGTGAAGCGACTCGTTGCACGGGGTCTGCGTTATCTGACGTAGGTACTTGTATTAACTAATGCGACTTCGTATCTTTCCTATGGTAAATTGTTTCTCTTTGGATATATGATTTTACTAACAGACGGTTTGAAATTTTTAAAGTGCAAAAGTTGACATAAAATTTGATGCCTTAATACACTTGAACGAAGAGAAATGGATAATTTGAATATACAAAAGATTTTGTTAATACAGGTATAATTTCTTTAACAGATGTATATGATATGAAAAATATAGTTCCAATAATATCAAACATCATTTCAAATTATAAAAACTTCTTTATTTATAAATGCATATGGTACACTTGTACAAAAGCTAGTATGAGAACTTATATTTATATAATTAAATATATAACACAACATTATGAATAATTAATCACACATTGTTATACTGTACTGAATACCACTATTTTACAAATACAAAATGATTTAATAATTTAAAATGACATAAAAATTATCATGTAAACATAAACCTCAGTTCAAAATAAAATTAGTAACTGCGTGATCATTCCTTAAAATTTACCATGTATACTTTCAAACTATCTAAGATATATCTTGACTTATGTATTATAATATTAATTTTACCATTACTACTCAAATTGCAGAACAATGCAGCACGGTACATTGCCATACATATTTTTTTATAAATAACATGTTTGAATAACTTATTTTTAATTTAAAATCCTCGAAATATTGAATCCGCATTGTTCTTAATTACTATTGGCGTTGTTGCTACCAAGATTTTCATAATTATCATTTGCCTCATTGTTGGCTTCTTTCGCTTCAGCATTTCCTGAAGTCTTCTTGAGTCTTGAACTCTCAAACCTTTCGTAACCTTCTACTTGACCAAAAATTTTTCTTCCTGGAATTCTCTCATTCTCTTTGACATTCAATTCAGCGCCAATCTGAAGTGATCTGGGCGGTGGCCGTCGATCATCTGAGCGGCCGATCTGATTTTCGATTTTTCTATCATCACTTCGCATCTTGTCTCTGAAGTTTGCTCGATTTCTGTCATGATCTTTGAAACGGTCATCTGGAACTGTGAGTAACATAATTGAAATGGCAGATTCAGTTATATAAATGGTTTATTTGGATTTCAAAATGGTATCGCAAAATAAAAAGTTTATTTATGAAATACCTCGCCGAGTCATATTTTAATTCAAGAACTTTTGAAAATATCACAAATCAAATGTGCTTCTCAATCAAATGCAAATCGGTAAACATATTTCCAGAGAAAGATGAAGGCTCAATACCATAAAATACATATTTATTAATCGAAAAACGTATAAAAATAAAATTTTTTCATATTACATAACTCTTATTGTACAGAAAGTACTCAAATTGCATGAAAATCAATAAGAAGATTACCGAGCAACATCACAGCCATAGTCTTATAAAAAGAGATTAGTATTCAGGAAAGGCAGCAACATCCAAAGATATGCTTGAAATTGAAAATGAGTATGTCAGAGATGAGGAAAGACGTGAGAAAGAATTAAAGTTGTGCATCTTGTTAGTTAACAAACATTAATAAAATAAAATAGTCCGCTCACCTGCGAAATATGACGGCCGTCTGCGATCATAGTAACTAGACCTCTTGACGTAACTGTCATAATTGTCATAAGGATACGGTATCGGTCTTCTGCTCGGTTCGATTGTATTTGGTCCTACTCTGACTCTATCTGCTTCAATCTGAGCTTCTGGCCGTACAAGTGGAACATAGGGTGGAGTTGGATAACTTCTAACGTCATTTGGTTTTCTTACAATTTCTGGCAGTGTTGCATAGTAAATAATCCTTTTCGGTTTTGGTGTTGGTCGATACCTTGGATACATGTCATAATCGATAGTATCATCGTCGCGATATCGGTCGTAGTAAGTATCGTAGGGATGACCTCGGTATGGATAGTAATCCCGCTAAAATAATTACGATTGAATAATAAAAGCAATGATCATCAATGCCAATCAAATAATAGGTGTACCAATGTGTTTGCTCACCTGAGATCGATAACGATTTGGGTAGTAATAATTCCTTGGCAGTTGAACATCGAAATCATGTTCTCGAACGATATTCCTAAACACCGGCACGTCATAATCCTCGTAAGATCTAGATACAGGCATCTCCCTCGATTCACGACCTTCAGGAGGAAACGGTAAATGTCGTCCTTCCGAACCTCTACTCCTGCCACTTGTCACGAAATCTGTCTTGGGTGCGTAATGTGCTCTAATCAGCGGTGGTAGATTTGCCACCTCGCTGCTGTCATTTCTGTCATCGAAGTTATCACGCGCAGCCTCTTCTAAACTTTCCCTCTGACGAAACTGAACAGGTGAAGGTTGTTTCGACCAAGATTCTGACGAGCTCATCCTTGCCTCTCGAACGTTTTTCGCTGCGTTAAGTTGTTCCACATTACTGTCGGTGTCACGTCGTTGCCGTCTTATTGAGGGCTCGAGATTTACATCGTCATCATTGGCAGCAGCAGAATTCGAGACGCGGTGGCCCGTATCGCTGCTTTGCACGGTGCGTTTTACGAAGGCCGAGTTATCGAAGCGTGCAGGCCACGTAAGTGGTCCTGCTGGATAATGATCGATCCTGTCAGCCGCTGATTCGTCCCAGTCTGCATCCACCTCTATTGCATTTGATGGCCTGCTCCCAATGCTTAGTAATATCAACAGAATGGTAGTCAATACTATTGTCAGTCTGAAACAAATGAGTAAGTCTTATAAGGTAAATCTTGCTATTTTATTTATTTTACATGAGAGTAGTTTAACGAAGCGAAGGAAGCAATCTTGTACGTGACACAAATTTGTAATTAATCAGTTTGTTTTGTATGTTTTTATGGCCTCCAAACTGTATGAAGATAAGATTTTAATTACTTAACTATATTCAACATTTACATGATTTCCGAGCAATAAATTCAAACATGAAGCGTACGTAAAAGTTTAATTTTAAACGTAAATAAAGAAATGGTGTTTTGGCTTTCATTTCTGCAAGTGCAACATATAAAATTCACTGACTGATAAAATTAGATTCATTAAGGTAATACTATTGAGGTAATTTACACGCAATGTTCAGATTATGATCAGGAATTTCGAATTACCCTCTATAGCAAAAAATCACGTAATAAAGTCAAAAGCCCTCGCACAGATCGGTAACTTTCGCTCGTGTGCGTACGGCATGCAAATGCCTCTCGAAGCGTGAAAAAATTTTACAGGTTAACGACACACCGCGCGGTAACAATTTCACCGCCAAATCCCGGCAAACATGCTACCTACATGTAGTAGAGGACAATAGAAGCACAGACGCTCACATCTTCCTTCCGGCATGCTGTACTATCGACGGGGTCGACCGATTCTCCATGACAAATATAATTTCCCATAGGTGCTTCCGCACTATTATTTCAAAGTTCCGGCGGGGATCAGGCGTGATTGTCCGGTCAAACACCGCGTGCAGCAAAAAAGAGAGCAAGAGCAATTGACCTGTACGTAGACAGTACATACGTATATGTACTGAATTTTACCCCATTTCGACTATCAACGTGTGCAAACATGCACGTTGCCTTCATTTTATTCTCTCCTTGTTCCCTTTCCCTTTTATTACTTTTATAGGAAATCTATTTTCATAAGAGATTTCTATTCATTGTTATTATCTTTTATCTATATTCTTTTGTATACGTGCAATTTAATGCTTTGTCATGTCGAGATTCATAATTTTTTAATATATTTTCAAAAAGTAATTCTGTATAACAGATAATCACTATTGACCGCTCAAGTTCATGCATATACATGCTGATTCACAATTACACATTATATATTACTGCAATAATTAAAATAATTTACTTTGATCAATGAAAATTATACGATACTCATTTAGTGTTTAAATTACTTATCAGTACGCACGTCGAACACGTAAGTACGAGATTCAAACATTTTTACACAACTTTGTGTTACGCGAAATTTTTACAAGCGTACGTAGGCTAACGAGGTATCGAATTGATGAAGAAATCTCAAAGGAGGCAGGAAGGACGTGATTCGAATTTCCGTGATTTCACAACTTTTCATCATCTAACGTGAAAATACATTGCAATTAAGTACATTCTTAATTCGTATGTATAGTCTTTAATTAAAAAATAGAATTTCATTTTGATACTGAAGGTTGAAACAATTACTTTCAATTATCTATTATTCCGATTTGTTGATTTTCACAACATAAAATTGTAAATATTGTTGTAAATCTAAAAATTTCTTTGTCCCATTCCCTTCAAAATGACGCGTACGTAATTCATTTGAGTAAAGTATTCTAACTTGTTTCGCTAATACGAAGTACGCTTACCAGGCACGTACTTGAAAGGATTCAACGATCACCTGCAAAATCATAGACACAAGACAACAAAGACGGTTTTTACCGCGGTGACGAGTACCAAAAAGCGCAAAACAATTGAGATGATAAGCGCGTTCCGTCGTGAAATGCGCGTCAGACAATCTCTTCAAAATGTGATCGTTTAATCATTTGACCGTTATATGTCCCTAAAACTTCAACTGCAAGTTAAAAGTATACAGTTATAAGGTAGCAAGCTTTTGTTAATACAACGTTTCTTGGCTTTTCCCTATGCATTTACATGTTATTCAGGATAGATGAACTTATAATTTTTCGCACTGCTTACTCAAAATTTTGTCGGATTTAATATGGATAGATAAGAATATTTTTCAATAGCTAATCAAAAGTTTTGTTTATTATATATTATATTTATATTTAATTACTGCCTCGAGATCTTACTAATAAGCGCTTTTTAAGATAAACATTTTGAAAGAGGATTATTTATTCTATTTAGAATATATTTTTCGGTATTTATTGATCGATCTCCCCCTTTTATTTGGATGTTCAACTATCGATACTCCAATGAAAATTAATATGTAGAAAAATTTCCAGAATCCAAATTGTTCTTTTGACATTTGTTAAGTTCAATTATTTTAATTTTAATAGTATTTAGCATGTAATGGAACAAATGTATGCATGTGAAGTTTAAACTAATTGAACTCTATTCACGTGTTTGTCAGTGTGATTATAGAAATTTAATCTAGTAAAATATGACATGTGAATGCAAATAAGATTCTATAAACATTAATTACAAAAGACAATTGTTCTACTTTTTAATAAGCACATACCTTGCCATAATGTAGTTTTGTCATCCGTAACGTGTTGACTGTTCGAGGTGTCCGCGATGACTGAACTTGAAAGAGCTACACGCACGTTTGATACATGCTTTACGTACGGTGATGAATGCCTCATGCCTCTCATCCCCTCTACTTACCTACTCGATCACTTTTTACGAACTACCATGACTTGTTCAGAATATATAAATATTTGTAAAGTAATTTTATTCACAAAAATTTGTTGAATTACCATTTTACTTATATATATATATATATATATATATATATATATATATATATATATATATAGTAAATAATGTTGTATAAACATTATTTCTGTTTGTCTAGAGTAAGTTATTTATTGGTATATATTTCTGTATAGTTGAAATAATTTATATTTTATGAAACTATTTTAAAAAGCTATAATGCTGCAGTTCAATCAATGGATACGGAAAGCACATATTAATAACAGTTGCTGCTCTCTTCGATGAGTATTAGTTTTTTTTTAATTATATAATAGCGATATATGTAGGCCTTTAATGAACAATTATTTTAATAACTATATTCAAAGGCTTATTTTAACAAATTGTGCCCCCTCACAATTTTCCAGAAAAACCCATTTGATGCCATCAACGCACAATCGTTGAAAATAGTTCATATTTTGAATTTTGCGGGTTATGAATTAATGACCGACATCGGCTGAAGGTTGAAACAGAGGAATTGGAATACGGAACTAGTAAGTTTTATACACATATCAATGCATATATAGTCTTCGTGGTTCTGATGTAAACATCAGTAACTTCAATCAGTACATTAATTTTAACGTCCGTACCAGAGATTAGTAGGTTCGTACTTGACGTGACTATGTCCTGCGAGGACACTGAGCGTAGCGCGATGGCAGATGAGGGAAAAAAAATTTCTTTTGGTTTTTCTAAAACTGTTAAAAAACCACTCATCAAAAATGCAGCACCAGTGGAAGAGAAAGCTGTTGATTATATCGACTGTGTAGACGACAAAGCTATCAAAATTGTTGGGTACGTAATTCAATTTCAGCTAAAAGACGCCTGCCATACATAACCTCGTTTTCATTTTCTATTTTTATCCCCTAATTCATACTTTTATTGTTTATAGTTGATTTTCTGACTTTTATACTTTTTTAGTAAAATATGAATATGTACACATTTATATATATAGTGTATAAAGTAATATATTGTTTTATAAAAAAAATTATTGTTTTACAGAAAAGAAGACAAGAAAGATGAACCTTTGGTCATTCCTATGCTTGGCTCAAAAACTTGGCATGATAGAATAATCAATAAAGTAGATGCTGATATTTTTGAGCCTAAAAAGACTGATACTGAAATTAAAAAGGAACTAAATAAAGATATTAAAGTTAAAGAAGAAAAAAATGTGAATATGACCAATGGGAATGCTAAGAATGGAAATGTGCAGCTTATGGAAATTGATAGTGTAAAAATCAAAGAAGAACCAAAGGATCCAGAAGCAATTGAACCAATAACTTTGGAACAGCAAGCAGCTCAAGAAATTTTAGCAGACTTGAAAGAAGAAGAAAATAAGAGTAAAGAACAAACATCATTTACTGTGCCAATGGCTGATGATGACTTGAAAGGTAGAGAAGAGGTATGTATAATTTACTTAAAATTGAAATATTTATTTATTGAATATTCTAATAAAAATCAATTTTGGCAATGCTAGTCTACTTTAGAGGACTATGAAAAAATTCCCATTGAAGCATTTGGTATGGCTATGTTACGTGGAATGGGTTGGAAAGCAGAAGAAGGAGTTGGAAAAAATGCAAAGTGAGTTATTATTTCATTTACATTTACAAGAAACTGTTGTTTGATGAAAAATGTTTATTTGTTTATAATATTACAATAGTCGATCAATATTTGTTTTATTTTTAAAGAGTCGTTGCACCATCGATTCCAGAAGTGCGACCAAAAGGAATGGGTCTAGGAGCAGACAAATTAGCCATACAAAAAACTAAAGCAAAGCTCACAAAAGAAGAAGAAAATCTTAAAATAGTTCAAGGATGTTGTGTCAAAATCATAGCAGGCAAACAAAATGGCAATTATGGAAAAATAGAAGGACTTGATGAAGATACTGGCAGGATTCTTGTAAGACTTGCACTTGGAAATGAAGTAATTTCATTAGTGAATGAAATTCTGGTTCAGCCAGTTACTAATGAAGAGTATTCGAAAAATTCTAGAGTTTTAAGTGAGTATTTAATATGTATGAATTGAGGAACTTTTAAATACTTTTAAACAGATTATTTAACTTTTATACATACTTAGCTATAAAATTATAATTTCTAAATAATTTTAAATTAAAAATTCCAATAAATATTGCGATTGAATGTATAACAACTTCTAAAGCTGAATAACTATAAAAATATTTACTTAACAGCAATGCATAGGTTTTTTATATGTTGCTATTATTTATTAATATAAACAAGTCTATTCACTGATAAATTAAAATGGATATTTTTAATTTCACTTTATGTTTCTTATTATTAATGGTTATACAATTATAAAAAGTTTGCAATTCCAAGTGTCAATATATTTTAAAAGTTCCTTTTAAATGATTATTCACATACTTTATAGTTGGCTTAGCTTTTAATATTGTATTGAATTGATTTTAGATATGAAGACATACGAAGAACATAAAAATAAAAAAGAAAATAACGTTAAAAACGTAAAGCAAGAATGTGTATCTCCTAAAAGTGAAAAAGATAGTGATGATGATAGAGACAAAAAAAGTAAAAAATCCAAGAAAAAATCAAGGAGCAGAAGAAATGAATCTGAGAATGAAAGCAGTCTAGAAAGGCAATTTAAAAAAAAGAAAAGAGATTCGTCCAGCAGTAGCGATGATTATTCCAGGAGGAAAAGTTCAAAGAAATCTAAAAAACACAAGAGTCGAGATAGTTCTGCTGAAAGATCGAGTCGCAAGAATAAAAGGAAAGATAAAGAGCGAGAAAAATCAAGGCATAAGAAATCTGACTATTCTGATTCTTCAGAGAGAGCAAGAAACAAAGCTAGAGATCATAGACGATCTAGGTCAAAAAGTCATTCTCCAAAACACCGCCGGAGAAATCGTTCGCGTAGTCATTCGCCTAAACGGTGAAGGTGAATTTCAATTAAATCCTATGGATTTTTAAGATCATTATCATGATTAATATTTTGTATACATTTTTGTTGTTATTTAGAGCAAATTTTGTACAGTTAGCATATATTATGACTAGTGACTGTCAATCACGTGGTACATCTAAGCTATTTATATACTTTGTCTATTTGTTTTACAAATTTATGATGATTAATGATTTTTAATTTGATTTTAAAATTGATGCAAAATAAAGTTGTGAAAAAGATTTTGTTCATTTTCAGAAAAGTACATAATTGATAAATGAATATTTTATTACAAAAATTTTATTAGTATGCGTGATTATTTCCTACAACCTGTGTACATATCAAATAAATAAGTGTCTTAGTTCCAGTCATTGTCCTTGATAAGAATAGTAGGTCTCTTATCTTGCACTGATGAACAGGAAAATCTTAACACATAGACATACATAACCTTATAATGTTGCAAAGTAGCAACTTTGCTAGGCAGACAAATAGAGCCATGTCCAGTAAGTATTTTCGAAATTATGTATATTTTAAGAATTATTTCAGCTATCAAAACAATAATAATACTTCATTATAGCACTTAGATTAGCTTTGGCTCAAATTTCCATCGGGAGTGATAAACAAGAAAACATCAGTAAAGCAGTTTCCTTCATTGATAAAGCAAAGCAAGAAGGTGCCGATATTGTTACTTTGCCAGAATGTTTTAATTCACCTTACGGGACAAGTGAGTTTATTTTATTGTTAGGAATAACAATGCATTTTTACATATACAGACTGATAACCCTTAAAAGGTATACTTCATAAGAAGTAAAATAAGGAAAACAACGTGTAATCATTGCATCTATAGATAACAAGTTGTGATTTTTCTGCAGGTCATTTTCCAAATTATGCCGAAATGATTCCATCTGGAGAAACCTCCGCTGCTCTATCAGCTGCTGCTAAAAAATACAGTATCTACGTGATTGGTGGCACTTTTCCAGAAAAAGATGGGAATAAATATTTCAACACCTGCACTGTGTGGAATCCTCAAGGTGAACTGATTGCCAAGTACAGAAAGGTATTGTTGAACATTTTTATTTTTAAATTTTCTTGCGCATGTTATTAACTATACAGTAAAAAATATGTTTTCATGTAATTCATAAAATGAAGGTAAATAGTTTTTTATTTATAAAAATATTTTGTATAATATTATAAATAAGTCAGATTCCTTCCAATTTTCGACTTTAAATGGCTGTTTAATGTACAATATGAAAAAGAGCTATAGTTGCTGCTGATATTACATACATATAGTATAATAATTGATGTATATAAAGCAAAAAAATTGGAAGGATTATTAAATTTGCTGGGAAAAGATATAAACGGCGCCGTTAAAGTTACAAAAAGTAAAAGAGCTGTAAACGTGCTTTTTAAATATTTGGAAGAAAATTTTTAATAATTTACACAAAAATTAATATTTTGATATAAAATTATTATACGTTTGTTTTGAAAATTTATAAATAAAATTTATAAATAAATACTGTTGATGTATTTATAAATAAATACGTCAACTTCTTTCTGTATTCGAGAAAAACGATATTTTTATTTATTCATTTACTTACTATTATTTTCACACATAATTAATCAATGTTTTTGGAAATGCAAAATATTCCCAAGATATACTTTTAAATCTATATCAACTTTCATTGTGATTTTGTATGTTGTTTTCGTACTATTTTCGATTGAATAAGCGAAAAACGTATTCGTCCATCAGACTACATCTTAAATAAAAACATAAATAACTTATTTCTCGTGCATCTGAGGTCCACAAAATTTGAACTGATTTTTTTTATATAAATATTAATCTAATTTTTTTAATTTCATTTTATTCAAAAACTTGTAAGCCGTACGACAGTACTACTTTTAAATGATTTTTCACAGTATTATATTTATTCAAATTAAAAATGAACTAATAAATATTCCGTTAATTAGAATTTATTATTTAAAATAATTTCATTTTTAGTAATTAGTTAAATTGATATCGATAATTGAAAACTATAGTTTCAATATAATGAAAATTTCCTTTTTGCACTTATTTAACCGAATTTCGATCAATAAGGAAAGAATAAATCAATACAATAAAGTTAAAAGGTATATTCCTTTTGACAATTAGCTTAAAGTGTCGTCATCAAATTAAACTCGTGTTCGCGCACTCATTTTCAATGCCTTTTCAAAACGCTTTCAGATGCATCTTTTCGACATTGATATCAAGGATAAAATCACTTTTCGTGAGAGTGACATCCTTAGTCCAGGTGATTCATTAACGACTTTCGAGGCAAAAGGATGTAAGATTGGCATTGGTATTTGTTACGATATCAGATTTGAGGAAATGGCCAAATTGTATAGAATTACGGGCTGCCAGATGCTCATCTACCCAGCAGCGTTTAATATGACTACTGGCCCTCTTCATTGGTCGTTACTGCAGAGGTCGAGAGCTAACGATAATCAGCTCTATGTGGCTTGTGTTTCACCTGCAAGGGCTTCGGGTCCTGGCTACATTGCGTGGGGTCACACGCAGCTAACGAGTCCCTGGGGCGAGATACTTGCTGAGCTTGATGCTATTGAGGATATGATTGTTAAAGATATAGGTTTGTATAAATACTTCAACAAAAACTTTAACATTTTTTAAATTATAAGTCAGTTATGCAAGCACATTTTTAATTGTTTTAGATTTAAAGGTTGTTGATGAAGTTCGAACTCAAATTCCTGTGTGGAGCCAGCGTCGCACTGACCTGTACGATACAGTGTGGAAGAACAAGTTGTAGATAATCGCTAAAGCATTATAAAAAGGTGACAGTTAAGCGAACTTTCTTTAGTAATTTAGAGATAAGAAAAGAATAACAAATATTTTTCCGTATTATTATCGCTCTGTATATTCTACAAAAAATGTAGATTATCATTATTTTATATGAAATAAGTTTGATGATTTAATAAGCGTTCGACACGTTTTTATGAGAACCAATTGTTTAGAATTATAAAAAATGTCCTACTTCTGCCGCCAATGAATTTTAGAAATTTATTTGTGATCTATCTAACTATAGCAAAATGATGAAAATATCTGTATAACTTAGGTGTGAAATATTTATAAGTATAAGTTTTGTACATACGGTTTGTATACAATTTTAATTTAAAAAAGTGGTTGTCATAACTTGCATGGATGGCTTATCTTTATAGCAAATCCTGCTGCACAAATAATTATCTCAATTAAAAACAAAGTTTTCACAATAAATATAAAATTACTAAATGCATCAACAACAGTTACAGAAACATATGTGATATCACTTTTTCTAGTGATCGTTATAGACTATTTCAAAACTTGTAACTTATAAGTTTCTATTGCACTTAATTTTACATTATTTTTTCAGATTTTTAGATTATCCAAATATGAAAATAAAAGTAACTTTCATTAAAACAAAATTTAGCATGGATTCAATTTATAAAAAATACAGTATTGTTATCTTTTCGAAATGCTATTGAAATTAATTTCTACTAGCAAATGGTTATTAATGGTGTTCGACATTTATTAGTCGTTATTGTATAGATTTGTATAATCCTTAATAAAGAAATAAGTTTGTAAAATTATTATAAGAAAGTAATATCTCTTATTCATACATTCTCTGATGAAATATAATTCATGTAACTATTGATATAAGAAAGGGATACAAAATATATTTACACATTTAGCGTTAATAAATCGATATGTATATTCTACAGTAAATGTACAATGTTATTATTTGACATAAAAGGCCACTTGACGATTAATCTGCATGTGTTTGAAGATTCTCTTATGACACAATACATTGTTATGGGTCATAAAAATTTTCACAGGTACTTTTAACGCTTATGGGTATCTGACGCAGACTTCCCAATTAGAGAAAAATTTTTAATGTTTAATCTATCATGATTTCCATTATATGTAGAAACAGAAACACTATAGTGAGACGTTTATTTGGAAGGATTATATTGGGCAAACAGTACTATGGTAAATAATACTTCGCTTTACATTCGCTTAAAAAATGAATTATTTATCAAAGTACTAAACTCAAAATTAAGACAATTTTGACGTGATTTAAACATCGGTGAGTAGAAAAAAATTACATTGCTGTAATAGCTCATGTGTTCAGTAACAGAGTCCTAAATTCCTAAAGTGATATATAGCTATATTGATTTTTATCAAGACTTTTCTGCAGAAAAATTAGATTATGAATTATATATGTGAATCAAAATACTGTATATTTAGAAGATATAAATTATCATGGTATGTATTTTCATTGGATTGAAAAATTGATTGCAAATTCGCCCAAGTACAAATTGCCTGTTATAAATAAACTGTTTTAGTAGAAATCAATTTTACTTATTCTCGGCATCAAAATGTAAATCTAACTATGCGTAAGCTTGGTTACCTTTGAGTAAGCTATTCTTTTTTTTTTATGATTATTGAGTCCACTTTAACCCCTCAGTTAATGGTAATGCATTTTTGCAGTGCCGTAAAGCTGCTTCTTTTACTGTTTTTATACATTACATACTATACACAGCTTTGGAGACATCAATTGAATATAATCAATTTATGTTATAAAGTGTAAAACTTCGAAATATATGTAAAATGATTTAACAGAATATAACTTTACTACTCGTAGTAGAAGGCATTAAAAATATTTGTTAAAAGCGCTTGAAGATAAAATTACGAAAAAAAAAAAATTAAAATATACAGTTGGTCAAATTCAACTGGTGCTGAAGTTTTTATCATAAATTAAGAATCATTGAAATTTTTATATTCTTTCTACTTATAAAGAGATTATGTTTAAATGGCAATATTGGAGTGACATGTAATTTGAGCTTTACACAGAATATAATACATTTCAATATATTACAAGAGTTATGCATAAAGTCACGTATGTATGTAAAGTGATACGCTACTGTTGTAATATCATATTTATCATACTCCATTCTCGTTGTTTAAAATTTCTGCAAAACATGAAATATATTCAGCATTACTGTTTAATAATCCATTAATTAACGTTGATGTTTACTATAACAAATACAACATTTCTATTAATTCCATAAAAAATATATGATTTCATATTAATTTTAACACGTTGAAACGTCTAACAATTTCTTGAGAAAACCAGATTATTAAATAATCAAATGTAACATTGAACATTCTTGGATTGATTGTAGCCACTGTTTTTATATAAAATAAATATTTTTTTTATAACTTGTCTTATATTTAGATAAGACTTAAAAAACATGCAGATTATCTTTATGTAGCTCATGCAAGTTTATAGTAAAGTGATAATTTTTCAACCTGTAGGATTCTTATGTGTAGATATGATCATATCCTTCAAGAAGATATGTATTTCTTTTTCGCACTATAGTTTATATCTAAATCATGTTCGTATTTCTAAAAATATAAACTATATTTATTTAATACGAAAGACACATACCTATACCTAAATTATAAAATTAGTTTGTAATTGTATTTGAAAAGAATAGATATACCAAAAGGAGATAGAATTCAATATAGAAAGTTTTATATTAGTGTATTTATTTCTTATAGATTATCTGTCGTTCTTTTTGAATTTATAACTTAAAATTAATCAATAAACTTTCAGTTACACTGTAATATAAATGTATAAAAATTGAAATATTTATTTTTAAGTAATTAAAAATTACTCAGGAAAATATAGTCATAGCATTTCCCATATATTTATTCATATATTTACCATTTATTATTATAGTCTATTGGACGTACTGTATGTTTTCTGTGCAGATTAATTTCATTCAGAAATAACGCCAATCCACTTGTTGACATTTTGCAATTTCTGTACATAAAAATTATTTTGCGGCTTTACTTGCCTTCAAGATAAGTACGCAGGAATATATTTAAAATCTGGCGAAGAGTTGTAACAACGTATCTTATATCTAGCCGAAAAATTTCCATTTTCAAAATTGTAAAAATTATAAACTTCTAACGCTTAGGTAAAAAATATCAATTGCATAATAAAGAAATTTGCAAAACATTTAGAAATGAAAAAAAAAAACGTGCACTATTTTAAAAGTGGTATAATCACGATAACTTTCATTATTCAAATGCTCATTGAATTGTCTAAAATAGCATTCATATTCGAGATTCATTAAAAAAATTGCCAACAGTACAGTTCTCACATTTGTAAGCGTACAACAGACAAACTTGAACAATATTCATATAACAAAAGTTTACAAGGAATACGCGTAGGCAATACGAGTATTAAGTGAAATTAACTATAGTATATTTTTGTAAAACTTAACAGGCTTTTACGTCTTACATTTTTAAATGCGCTACATCAAGAATTAGTTGATAATCTTTCAACAGCAATTCCTCCTCGTATTTTTGGCTACGTGTTCTAAAAGGCTTGCCTTCGATATACAACTGGCTGCAAAAGCTATACAATATGATGCGCGCGCGCGAAAACCGATAAAAAATCTATACATCACAAATCTCGCATACACATTCGTATTGTGCTTGAAAAATCACTCGACGTACACATCTCTCGTTTCAGATAAATATATCTACGTATCTGTATTCAACTTGGCATCTCGTTGCTCGTGGTACATATACAATATAAAGTTTGAAAGTAGCCGTGGGTCTTGCATTTGCTTGTATCTGCAGCTAGTACGGTGCTATGTATAACGTCACACATATCTATATGTTAAAATCAGCTAGATAGTTTTTTTGGACGCTCCGTGCGCGCGAGGACTCGTCGATTGACGCAGACTCGGGGAAGCAAGCGTGCTTCGAATCCCGCCTCGCGCACGTCGTGTCGAAAAATCAAACGCGCGACACGTGCGCGCGCCAAAGTGATCTGAGCCTGGCGCGCGACCTCCCCGCTCACTCTTCGCTCGGGCGCAGGCGTCCACGCGAGCCTCGGATCACTCTCTCGGACTATGGTTTCCGAAATGTTAAATGTCGCACGGCCGTTTCCCGAGCCGCTGTACGAGTGTCGCGGTGCTCACTTTCCTTACTGAATGTGCATAGCCATACCTCGACGACACACGAGCGCGGACTTTTTTAATAATCTGCCGTGTTGACGCTGATTTCCCCAAGGACTTTCTCTTTCACATTGCGTACATCTCTTCCGCGGGAGATGGATCGGGCTCGAGAGCTTCTCTCGGGCTGGCTTTCTTTCTTCTTTCAGCGTGTTTTTATCGGAACTGCAAAATTTATCAAAGGACCACCGTATAGAATGCTCGAGCCTTTTTAATGCTTAATTCTATTTCTTCGGTATTTTTTTTCTCAAGATATAACTACGCGGCCTTTTCGAATGTTTCTTGAAGCAAAAACTCGATTTCTTTTTGAAAGCGACACTGTACGCTGTTGCACTTTAAGATTTGCACTTTATTTCATTAAGTTAGATTGTTAGCTCGTTATTAAAGACAAACTGATTTTCAGTATCTCATTTTAACTAGTGAAAAATCGAGTTTCGACATAAGCAAATTTAATCTCAATTCGTACCCTAGACCGTTGAACAAATTATCGCAATATTTGTACTTCAAAATAAAGGTAATTCCAAAGTTAGCAAAGCGACATTTTAATGACAACAATCAGGCAAGAAGTCTCGTGGAGAGATGGACGAGAATATTTTAACGTACCTGTGTGCTTAAAGAAGCCAGTTGTAGAAATCCTCGGGTTTGTCTCGAGTTAGGAGGCCGCTAGTCTCAGCAGCATCGTTGGCAAGAACAACAAAGCTGCGAATTCTCTCGGACGATGAATCGAGATGGAGGATGCAGCTATGATAAGGTCAGGATCATTCCAGTCATTTGCCGCGTCCGTACCGTCGAGACATTGAAATTCGCAGCATCGCTCGCCCACTCGGAACTTCTTGCATTTCTGTAAATACAGTAGTATATTCGTAAGAGTTCAATAGTTGTGTTATCTGTTAATTGGCCTTTGAGGGCTACAAACAATATACACCCATGAAGCGTAGCCAATGTCTTTGTGGAGGATTACGGCGTACGTGCACCGAATTCTCGACGAGATTTGGTATGTGTGTGTGTTTCTCCGATAGTGTGTATGTACACGAGTATATATACATATGTTCATTGGGACACGATTGAGTTCTGTGATCCGACGGGTGGAAAATTTGCGCGGATTCGGTGACTGTCTTTGCCGAGTGTGTGTACAAACTGGGTGAAATGGAACTTCGAAAGTAGATCGATGGGCGAACAATTTGTCAATTGTAACACGCTAAAAAGTGGATTCACCGTCTCGTTAGCTTAATTAGTGCTCGAGCTCTGGAAAGTTCGGCAATGTTATTCCCCGAAATTGAATACTTCTGTTCGGTAAACGAAATGATTATTATTTCTTTCAAACGAAAATTCTTGTTATATTTTCAAATGAAATGAATGTTCAAAATTGATGAAAGTCAATCTCTCGAGCTTATATATTATGAAATTTTGCAATGTATTTTATCTATCCAAACCCGAAGTATTCAAATTGAATTTGTCAGTTTTCCAATTCCAGATTGAATATAATCGAATTTCAAAGGTAAATACATAGTGGAACAGGTAAAATAAAAAACTTACTTTCTTGAATACAATTTAAATAAAATTAACATGAAAGCAATTTGTACGTTGTACAGGCTTGGTTAGGAAGGAAAGAAAATGAGAATTCGCTAAAATGTCAATTTGCTTATCCTGATCCTGTATCTTTCAAGCGTAAATCGAGCGATTTTTACTTTCAAACGAGTCGACGGTATTCATCTACATATGCTTTCGAGGGAGAAAAGTGCTACAGCATATTGATAAGGAATTTTAAGGCTGCTAGAAAGATAGTAGTTGTCAAAAGAACATTGTACAGAAGAGCTTTTGTGATGTTCGCAGCCGTTTGACGAAATACAAAGAAAACTTCTGACGAGAGTAGCAACATTTTTGGAGAAAATTCACAAAGACAAGTAAAATCGAGTAGAATAAACGGATAGATTTATTACTTTACAAGTGATAATAAAATTTTTATCATAGCATTATTGCAACCGTATATGAAAAACTTTGTTATATAGTGAAGTTATTATCATCTTTTAATTATTAATTCTTAATTTGTATTAAGTATTGAAATAGTTACGAGATACTTTCAATGAGATAATAGAGCAAATAGCTACCAAGTAAATCTTTTGTGCCGTGTTATTTGCCCGGCAGACGTATTTGCTTTGCATATTTTCATTTTAAATGGAAAGTGAAAAAAATTCTATAAAAAATCTTCAAAACCGTAATTTCATTTAAAATAAATGATAGATTTATGTGGCAGTATCACGTTAATAACACGGAAACCAAATCGTCTGGTATTATATTCCGCTTATATCAAAAAGATTCTCATCTCAAAATAGTGCCCAATGGAATTCCTCTTGTTACACGAAAACATCTTATTGTTACTAGATGTTTGTGTAATACAAGAAGATTTGCTCAAAATTACTTAACCCTCGTTACAAAAATATAATATTTTTCAGTTTCTTACGCACACAAATAATATTTTGAATATTCTGCAAAATAGAACGTAGCTCGAGTGTAATTTAGAGAAGGAAATTTAGGGTAGTACTGTACATAAAATTTTCATCTCAATAATCACTTGTTTTTTGGAGAGTTTTTGTTTCAAAAGTCATTAAGCTTCGTATAGTCTCCAAAATCTAAAATAGAATCACTAATCACGACAACTATGTTGGTACTTCGTGACCATTGTCGATTCTTAATGAATCGCATACACACTAAGAAAGAGCCAGTACGTGCACGAGACGTCGAGTGTCCAATGTGACCTGATTCCCAGTGCACATTCAAATTTTCCCTTTAGCGACTTCTGTCAATACACACACACGCGCGCGCGCACACATACATACAAATTTCTTGAGTTCGCGTCCTCGCTCTCTTTGATTTTTTGCTTGTTATTTCCTTAGAGGTATAAAAAAATGATAGAAAGCACATATACGAGTTTTGGCACATACGTTAAGCGTAAATCAGGCTAAAGATTAACTGATGCAGTAATTATCAGCGACATAAGTGACTGAAATATTGATTTATTTCGCTAAAACTTTTATCAATCGATCTGCTGTTCACGTCTTATATATAGAGATAAGCAAAAGTTCGAGACCAGTATTAATGTCTCACAAGCGCACTCGAGGGCGTAATGAAGATGAAATGAAAACGTACGGTCGAGTGGCGTTAAGACTGATTGATCCTTTTAGCGTGTTGAAGTGGCGATTACGAAAAATTAGGAAATACCGTATGTACCGTAAGATGATTCTTTGGGGCTATATTTTTATTGTTATTCTAATCCATATAAACTAAATTTAATTTTTCAGTGTATTTATTTCCTCACTGATTTATTTATTTTGCACTTCCGAAAATGGTTTACGATCTCCATTGCGCATTATTTTACAGGATCATGATAACAGTTTCGGAAACATTAACAAGCGCTGCCATTTATTTGTTTTTTCATATAAAACAAAGAAAAATACGCTTTGACAACAAACAATTTTCTAGTGTCTCATTATTTTTTAATAAAGTATCGGTTTAAACGGTATACAGTGTAATTTCACCACTCGAGTCACGTGAGGTTTTTCTGTTTTCCCCCTTTATTCTGCATTAAACTCATAAAGTTTAAGTATGTACATCATACTATATCTCGCTGAACATACTTACTGACAAGTACTCGACGAGCAATGCGGAAACTTTCGCTCGCTCGTCTAATTATCAAGTGGATCTTTGTAGCTATATCAATCTATACAATGATTCGCTGCTTGTGTATGCAAGTAAGCGTTATCGACGTAAACTGTTTCAACACTTAAAGTTGCTTGCTGATCGAAATTGATACGCGATGACGCACTACAGGTAATAGGGTATTTTGGGATATTCTAATTCAAGACTCGAGCTAGAAGATTGAATGTGATAAGCCGTGCATAATATGAAGCTTGCTGGGAAAGAAGCTGTCATCGATATAATTCTCACGTGTTAATCGATTCAATGTTGAAAAGTAAAAGAATCAGTTTCTATTTATAAATTCGAAAAATATATATATATTGAAATTAATGAACTGCGCTTTCAATCTTTCTTCTGGAAAAAGTCAACACACATAACAAATGGTTGTCCTTGAGACTAACGTTCGATAGATTTATAAATAAAAGTGAAAACCGAAGTAATTTTTCATGGTAACGTCAATTTGACCGTGCATCCATATATTTTCGAGACCTTCGATACATGACGACCCATTAAAGTTTAAAGTACCTTGGCAAGGCACAGAATTGCGAGAAAATATACATTATGCACTTGTCAGAAATGTGTATATCACTGCAAGATGTCTTTCAGGGCTCTTCATTTTCCGACGGCAACGTAATATTCGAGCACGATACGTATGACGCAGACGAATAGATAAATAAATAAATGAAGCGATTCTCTTTACCGCTTCGAAATCGCTTTTCTTATCGCTTGTTCTTTATCTATGCATTTTTCAAATTTTCAACCATACTTAGATTTGAATTGCGAGAGTGAATTTATCAAGTACTTCTTGAATTTCGAGACAGTGTCATGTTCATGCTGTAGAATTCAATTTAATTCCAGAAAATGTCTTTTGAAATGTATGAAAATTTAAATTTGACGTTTTAACGCGCCCTACGGCGGCTTCATTAGAAAGTAAAATCCAAAACCTGCTTCCGAGAATCAACAATACTGTCATCTTGAATTTCCATGTATAATAGAGGAAACTCTTGGCTTTCGCGGCTCTCAGTAAGACGAGTAAGTAGTTATGGTATAGATTCGGTTAGGCATTAGTCACCTGATGTCCTGCTTGATTTGATATTGAGTTTGCTTTGAATAGTTCAACGTTTTGAACAAATATACCTTATATAACATAACAAAATATTGTATGTAGTATTGCTATTTAAATAATACAATTGGATTAAGAAATACTTGTAAAAAGAATATGAATGTATATTTTAGAAAAACAGAATTTTAGAATTTATTTTACGCGTATGAATAAAAATGGGAACAGTTGTATATTTGTCAAATGCAAGAACACATGAAATTTGCACAAACAATTACTTTGTTTTTCATAATTGAGCTGTACGCGAGAGACGTAATATAATTAAATAAGTGACGAAAGTTAGAACTTGAAGCTCTAACTCGTACTTATGAATAATGTTATTTCTAAAACTTGCACGAAAGTACAATGTTCCTTGTAGTCGATAAATATAGTGGATTTATTTCTCAGCCATTTTTTATTAATTCCACTAGAGACAGATATTTTCCATTTTTTTAAATTTAGATGAAAGTTTTTTTTATTGATCGAAACTTCAATGTTAATTGAATACATTGAATGCAAGAAATCTATTTTACATTCTAAAATGTGACGTACGTAATACTGTTGTACTAATATGAAATATTATTCCACGATTGGGATAGTTGAAAATAACTATAAATACTACGTTTTAATCGACCAAAAATATATTTTTGTACAAATTTTGATGTTGTTCGGTATAATTTGCCACCGTAAGCAGAAATATCTTATAAAGTTTTTAACAACATTTTTGAAAGTCCATTACTCGAAATGATAACTTGATGCATATGCATATTTTATGCAATTATTGGCATATTATATTCTTAATAAACACAAGTAAAATATTCATGAAGTAAGTTAATCAAAAAAAATTATGCATTCCTATATAAAATTTGAATTTGACATAATGGTAAGAAATCATGATTATATAAAAAAAAATTTTATCAAAAGCTTTATAACTTTTTTCTATGTATACATTTATCAAGTATTTCGTCTTTTATCCTTCTTGTATAACGTTAACAGCTATAAACGTCCCCTTGGAAAGGTCATCAAGATACTACCCTTTCTTCTTGAAGATGATAGAGAAATTAGTACTCAACCATATAATCTAAAATTATATGAATAGCAATACGATTTGATTCCTCACTTGCACGATGCAAATCGATTAATGAGCTATAATAAATAGCAGGTTTCGCATGCAAAAAAGATTATATCGAGAGGGAGATCCATTCGATACCATGTCTGACTAAACATAAAACTGACTACTTAACTACACGCAACCTCACTGTTAACGATTAAAAACTTTTATCATTTATTTAAAAATATCTGTTAGTGTTTATTGACACGACAATGACGACGGAATATTCAATAAGCACCGCACGTTCAAACTTTTTTGCGACGAGAGTAAACACGGTTACACTCGTAACTGGTGACCGCGCACAGCTACAGCAACTTTACATAATACACGGATTGACTTGAGAGACCACGCGTAACGCGCGACACTATAAAAATAGCTCCCTCAGGACCTTTTATCAAAACGCGCGAGAACTCGAGTCACTCGCGTGTTGATGAAAAATTAATCCGCGAGAGAAGGCTCACCACGCTCGCTATTGTAAATCAGCCTGTGTGCCTGGCTCAATCTAATGTCGAGCACGACATATGCATTACACACGGAAGTGCGAAAAAAAACAAAAAATGCGACTATTGGGCTTGAATTTTCCATGTAAAAGTCATTCACGTGCCCACCGCGTCAATAGTCTAGCTTGAGCTTTTTTATTGTCATGTATGTATTATTAAAATTTGCGTTTGGATGAAATATTCGTAAAAGTGGCCTGTTTCAAATGTAAAAAGAACACGACTACCGTTATTATTGTTACACTAACGTTATAATTTGAAAAATCTCAAATAGTAGACAAATTTTTGATGCTATCTCCATCTGTGTAGGTATTTACATAAAAATTTACGAGCTTTGCAGTATTACTTTGTTTGCAGTGGTAATCGGGAAAACTGTCATCGTTAATTTTCTAACTTTAAAAATTGATGAACGTGGAATGGAGAGATGTTTTACTCTTATAAAATATTTCTAAAAGATCGCAGTGTATCAATATTGTTCAAAAATTTTTTTAATACCATAATAAATGAATGAATATATTTTACATGCAAGCTTATTATACCCAAATTAATTTCAAGTATATTAAAATTAAGTTCATAACTTTTCTTTCAAGCAGTTGCACCGAAAATTGCAAACAGATGTTTCAGTTGTGAGAAGTTGGTAGTCAAGAAAGTGTAATTCGAAAGTTTTCTGAAAAATTTTGTGAATATAGCTGGGCACGGGTAGCGAGGCAAAGTTTTGCTCGGATCCCAAAAATAAGTGAACGTGATCGATTATTGCCCGATAAATGGAAGAGTATAGTGCTCTAAATACGTGGCAGTGTTGCGCAAAAGACGCTCGCGGCATTTACTGTTGAGCGCGATAACAAGTTCAGGAACAAGTACCTCAACCACTTTATCAACCTCGGAATCTAATTGACGCAATGAAGGAGAGAACTGCGCTGCACAGGGTGAAACGGGAATTTCTGGCGACGCTGGCCTTCAAATAAAAATGGAAAAACCGTTGAGAGCCGAGCGCGCGGACTCTACCATCTTCTTTCACACGCCTCGACACGAGGAAACGGAACTTCAGATTAAATGGATTTCCACCACTTCGGGCAAAGTGCTGCAAGTGCAAATCTAGAGTCGAATTGCGTTCCTCCTAGCTCTCTATACTCGTCACTCTCTCTCTCTCTCTCTCTCTCTCTCTCTCTCTCTTTCTCTTTCGTATTTTCAAGACCAGATTGCAATGTGTGTGAAGTATCACAGCGTAAGTTTTTTCGAATTGAAACGGAACTTGCATCGATAGTTCTGTGTGATTTCATTACTTGATGTGAATATTATTGTTTCATTTAGTGTTTTATTCTTAAAAAAATAACAATAAATATTTTAATGAAGCTAATGGTTTAAACAATTCGACTATTACATATGAACAAACAATTAAAAATATATAAAAATATATTAAAATTATAAAATTTAATATATTAAAATTATATAAAAACAATTAAATAATGAATAAAAAATCTAGTGTTTTCTTAAACTTAAAATCTCACACAAATCAAATCCTATGGTCAAGAAACTTCGAATTGTATTGGCACTTTCGTAAATATGTAATCTGATGAGCAGTTAATAAAAGTTACCATGTTAATAATGGACAAGATAAGAAAACGGCTTTTTGGGGAAAAGTCGCGATTGTAAATCAAACAAAAATAAATTAAAGATTTCATTCAAAAATCTAAGAACGTGGCCGTTGGTGAAAAGTTAAAGAGGACATTTGTCACGGCATGCACGGCGCCCCGATAACAAAGTAGAGAAGCACGCGTCGTTTTTGAAAGTAGCAGGGATAAGTCGCGCAATGCAGATTTTTTTTTACTTTTCGTTTTCTCTTTGTACGACATGCGGCACTTACGTAGGGTGGCGTGCAGTAAATGGCCTGACACCACATAGGTTCCGAATGGTAACAAACGCAAAGACTGCAGACCGCAGGTCCCGGCACGTAGAGTAGCCCATGTCTAACCTGGTAGCCTTGGAAGTCCGTGCAGTTCTCCTCGAGGGCATGTGTGTAACTGCCTGCAAGACAGGAATTCCACGTGAGCTTGTCGTCTGTCCGTCCCTACCCTACTCGTTCGATCTTTCATGCTCGCAACCAATAACCCTTAAACTGTTAGATTCTTTGCGACGCGGCCTGACCTATATCCGTCTCTTTCTGTTCCCTTTAGAGCCTGTTAACGAATATAAAAATGCTTTGCAGTGGTCAAAGTGCGGTTATACTTCTTTCTCATTGTGCACGTTTTTTTCGTTGAATTTTATAGTTTTTAAGTGAGGTAACTCTGCAAATTTTTAATAAAAGTTTGACTTGAACTTCCGCGGAGGTGTATTTCTATATGCTGTCCACCGACCTTCGGAAAAATTATTTCGAATCAATTAAGACGGCCAATTTATTCGCTAAAGTTAAGAGACTTCAATAATACTTGATATTGAGAAAAATAATCAATGTGGAAAGCAACGTTCCACGTTAAATTTTCTACTCGTGGCAATTTCAAGGAACGTTCTTTAAAAAGGAGATTTATTTACGTCAGACAATTGATATTGCTAAGGATATTTCGATTAAAATTATTCAGGATGAAGTCGGAAGTTGACAAATTTAAATTGAAATGTTCACCGTAAAAGGAAGTTTCATCAGGTAAAGTACTAATTCGGCTAGATGTGTGTAAGTCTGCCAGTATATTTGTGGAGTTAGCGGTTATATACTGTCTACGCCAATTTTAGTCTTCGATCTAGGTCAATTACAATGGCAGCGAAAAGTGCGGTTTTACTTCAATTAGCCAATTATAAAAAGTACTGTTTAAAATAGCAGCCTCGTCGTCTTAGGTTTTAAAATAAGCCTCGGGCAATTACTCGCTCGAAAATTGTTCAGTTGCATCACGTTGTTTCACGCAACCGCGGGCAAAACGAAAGAGTGAAGTTTAATGAAATTTTAAAAACCGCCGATGGTGCCCTTGGCATATGCGAAAGCACGGAAGAAGAAAACCAATTAAAATAATCTCGCGCCAGATAATCACAAGTGAAAAAGGAAATCACCTGTCTCCAGGAGAAATATCAGCAGGGTAGCGAGACAAAAAGTAGTAGCAGCCATGGCCAAACTCGGCTGAGAGAGCGCAAGAGAGTGGGAAAAAAGTTCGAAGAGTTGGAACAGGAAGCGGCTGTCCAATTGTTCAACAGTAGATATCCGAGGCGCTGGAGAATCGACGTGCAAGCTCGCGTGGTGTGGCAGCAGCAGCAACGGCCAACCGATCCTCGAGCTCAGTTATATTGCCAGCGATTTTCTTGATCGCCACTGGCGCTCCGCACAATTCCAGACGAATACCTACATATACGTATGCATGTGTGTTATTGCTGTTGGTGCAAGTTCAACTTGTCTGGGTGAGGAATGCCTTTGCCATTGAAGGGAATTCCTGGTATAGTGCAATTTGCATAGCATACGACCAAGGCAAGGAAATAGCGGGTCAGGTATGTGTGCAGGGTCAGGTGCATCGTAGCCAAGGATAAATTGCCCAAAAACAATTAAGCCGACTATATATTTTGGGCTAGCACGCGCTCCTACGGCCATATAAAAGTCGAATGTCACTTGGGTCGGATTACTTTAATCATTGGATGACCATGAATCGGATATTCATCTTCTCCGATTTCCTTTTTCGCGTTCATTGCGAATTCGCTGGATTTAGTTCAACTTGTTTAGTCGCTAATATATTTAAATATCAATTTGTAATCGATTAATTCAAACTCATGTCTTTCAATTGTAGAGCAACTCATTTCAAACATATCTTTATAAGTATTTAAATTGCTTATACATTGATTGAATTATACGAAACAACCGACCATAATAAATCTGATAGTATAACAATGAAAATATTTAATGCCGTACATTCTATAAAAAATCAAGTTTCTAATTCATGTGTTTGACCATCATATTCACTTTTGAGTTAGAAGAAGACTACAGGACTAGATAGTAATTCAATATATTCTATTTCAAAGTATAACTTCTCTAAACTCCCTTTTTTCAAAGTTCAAACTTTTTTAAAATGAAATCTGTACAATCCAATAATATTACTAAAGATTATAAATATAGAATTATGATTGAGCTAGAACTATGCACTTTTGTTTTATTTTGAGTATTTACTAAATGACATTGTACATTTTAAATGAATAGCTAAATTGTAACACATAATTAATTGTATAAGGTAAGATTCACAGTAAGATAATATTAAAAAATCCTTTATTTGGTAAATAAAAATTTCTTTGTATATAAATTTACATTTATAAATTCTGTAAATAGTTCATGCTAAAATTTCTATATAATATTCGAAGTACGAAGTATTAGAAATTATTTTGAATGATCAGAGCTTGTTTTCTCGTAATATTACATAATATCCATAGGCCACCTACAGCGCAACAATTTAAATTTTAGATTGCCCGAATAATGGGAAATACTATGCATCGAACGAATAATTCATCATTTATTTGTCTCCGTCAGAAATATGGGTAAGGAATTCTTTAAAATACAATGAAAAAAATATCGATGAGGATCCACGTAATACTTCTTTTTACACTGATATCAGCATGGAAATATTATTCTCGTACGTATATATATAAAAACAAAGGTACAAAAAATAGAGTTGTAACTGATATCGGGAGCAACGGTTTTCTCGCCGGAGAACGCGAATCCAATATTGGCAAATGCAGAAAAGTGAAAGACGTGCTCGCTGAAAATTAAAGCTCCACGTAAAAAAGGTGAGGGATGAAAAAGTTTTGGAGAGCGACATACGCAGAGAAAGAAATGAAAAAGTAGAAAGATCGGGCAGCCTGGCAGTGAAATTTTCCACGCAGCATCGTGCGTCGAGGCTATAAATCACGCGAAGTAGAGTTGGTATGTAGTATAGTAGAATACTGCTGTTCTTCCGATATATTTCTCACTCTCTCTCTCTCTCGCTCTATCTCTCTCTTCCATGCAGCGTAATCGCAGCCCACGCAAGCTCTCGTGCATAATATCGTGCGTAGATCTGATTAATTTGTCCAAAGCTATGCGACACAATGAAGAGAAGTGTGCATGTGCGAGAAGCATGAATGATTGTACCTTCGAACAATAACATAATCCATGCTGTGTGCCTCTTTATTTTGCCTCCCTTACATTTGGTTGCACGCAAAGCCGTATATCTATACAGATACCATTCACGCACTGCAGCAGTTGCCGCTGATATCTTGGGCGAAATCCACAAATACTCAGTGGTGATGCATTAGTGGACGGTCTGTTGTGACAGTGGTTCAGTCGGCAACAGCAGTGGCAGCAAACATGACGACGAGGAAAGAGCGGCGCGTGCTGGTCTAGACGACGGCTCGCGCGCGACTGTGTGTTGTCGCAGAGCAGCGCGATCCGAGCAGCACTACTGCTTTGCTCTCGCGCGGGTCGATCGAACTCTACACCAACGCCACATGCCCTTCTCTCCTTCTCTCTCTCTCTCTCTCTCTCTCTCTCTCTCTCTCTCTCTCTCTCTCTCTTGCTTGCAAGCTGCAAAGCTGGGTGGGTGGAGATCGCTGTACTCACTACTGCTGCTGAAAGCTACACTTTGATGTACATGCACTGATGATGGGATATATGCTCGTTGAGGAATTCCGAATTTGACTGACAAGCCGTTATTGATAGAGAATATGTGAAGTTTTTGAGATTGATTTCGAGAGTGAACAGCTTGACTAAGAGTTAACTGTAGTAGGAAGATTGTTAATCGTGATGTAATGATGGTACTTTGTTGATGAACATCAAAGCTGTACTGTACAAGTAAAGAGAACCTTGATACTGTCACTTAGTAGCTATCCGATGAATTCAAGACGAACGAAACTGTGAGCTGTAACACAAATTTTGTACGGATAGTTCTATCAAAAGTACTTTAGCGTTAACATTGTTTAACAGAGCACGTTAAATATATCGAAAACCTCTCGTGATTAAAACGCGTCTTCGAAAAATAGCTCGATTAAAACATCAGAGATATCGCCGAGGTCAAGGAAATGGCAATGACAATTTTTGAAGATTGATCTTCCGCATTGAATAGTTCTGTAGTGTGATCATTCTTCAGATGTTCCATTCTATACATATTCAGCAATGCATACACAACAATCAAATATCAAATCAGTGAAATATTTTCCACTCCTTTCCAAATTTAATCGTAACAACAACAAAAATGAACAAAATAAAAAAAAATGTAAATTGACGATCTAAATTGGCACGGATATGAACTGTTGCCTCCTGTCATGAAGCGGTGAAACATCGTTGACATTTACTTCGGAGGCATCAGTGTTCGTCTAACATATTTCGTTCTCCACGGAAATTGTGAATAGTTCGGCTGTTTCGAATCACGTATAAGAACTCAATTTCAAGTTTGATTACTTTTCGTCGCAACTTTTTCTTAACTCTTGATTGATTTAAAGCCGCTCGTGAGAGTTCCAGTAATTGAAAAAATATCGAAATCATTTCAGCGATATGGGGTTCCGTTGAGAAAACTTGTGACGCTTTTTTAAAAATACAAGCGTTCTATGAGTAAATGAAAAGTCACGATGGGATAAACTACAGGCAAACTATTGTAGTAGTTTCATGTCAATCAAGTAAAATTTTCTAGATACGATAAGTGCTTGTTATATATCACTTCTCAACTCAACAAGCTGGCATTTACAGACTGTCGTATAGACTCCGCTTTAGTGACGCATGCACTATCCTATACGTATTTCTACGTAAATGCAGTGGATCTCATACATCAAAATATCAAATATCTACTCTCTTGAATAAAAAAAATATCAAAAGTTTCGAGGAATCCAAATGTTTTCAAGAAATGTATGTGCACGATTTTATAAACGGAATGTCTCATGTAGTTCAAATTTATCGATGTATGACACGAAATTATGTTTCAAGCACATCGGGCTTAACAAACAATACGATTATTTAAGTAAATAAAAATATATGAAGATATCTTTTTTATTGATGATTACAGGCTGAAAATACTGAATGGAGAAAAAATTAGAGGCTTACAATTAGTTCAAGAAAGGTAGGTACCGGTGTAGGTTTCTATGGTAACCAAATAAGTCGATTTTTAAAGTGTACCGTGTGAAATGTAGCTCGACTGGCCAGGTTCAAGTATGTTTGCATAGGTGACAAAACAAACTAAATTTAGTGTTATATTTGATGCAAGATAACATTTCCACATTAAGTAAATTAAGTTGCATTTCGTTCAGAATGGAAGGGCTTTCAATCAATGCCAGCAGCAATCGTATGACGTGCCTTGCAAGAGAAAAGGTAAGATTATCCGAACATATACTCTACATTCTAAAAGCTTCTTATCAAATAAATCCTTTCGATCAAACAAATAATAATTTAAGTAAACTATTTACAAGTTAGTTAGAGGCAAATGCCAAGCTTCCCGTGGAAGCATAGCGCAACATAAAGCGTTTATCTAGCAAGGTTAAGTCTGAGCTTGCAATATAATTCATTAATATGATAATCAGGAAGAGAAGCGTGCTCAAGAGCGGAGAAGAAATTTGCTGTATCTTGTGGCAGATTTCCTACAAGAGCAAGGGTAAATATTATCAAAACCTACTTCGTCGCGAGCGAATTCTTCATTTATATACGCTTATACTTGCCTGCCGACACTTTGCCAGAGTATAGCTACGCAGCAGACAAGTATTTATTTCAAACGGAATTTCTACTTTTTTTCTTTTACTCAAAACGTTTTCGTTCTCTCCCCCCCCCCCTCTCTCGCTCGCTCGCTCTCTTTTATTAGATACACGGATGCATGTGAAGTGTTTGCTAACGAAGCGCATCTTTCGACTGATATTGAGATCTGCGATAATATTGACCTCGAAACTATTTTGTTGGAATATTCAGACTACTACTTTGCAAAATTTAATAAATATCCCAAGATATGCAAAAGAGGAGAATCGAACTTTACCAACGCCACGTAAGTGATGTCTTATTTGTTTTGTCATGCAGAACATGATGAAAAGAAAATGGTTCATCTTTTAAAGAAATAAGAAAGAGAAGAACAAAAGCGCCAATAAAAGTCACCGGAAAACGGACGAGGAATCAATAAAACACGCGAATGATAATTCTAACAATGCGGCAGAAAAAGTAAAAAATAATTCTTTGAAAACAGAGCCCAACTTTAACATTACTGTAAAACCATTGTTTCCGACAACCAATTTCGAGAACGATCAAGATAAAACTAATAATGACGTAGATATCGATTTCGACTGCAACAACTCTTTGAAACCACTTGGTAAACTTTACCCCACGGGAACAGAGTGGCGTGAAATAGCCGAGATGATTGCAAAGGTAACGCATTTAAAAATTTTCAACACGATACAATTGTTCACTTCATAAAATTTTGTTGAGTTTCTTTCATATCGTGACTTTTAGGAGATAGTTCTAACTAACTTAAATGTACGTTGGAATGATGTCAAGGGACTTGAGGAATGTAAAGATCTGTTAAAGGAAGCAGCTGTTTATCCTTTCAAATACCCATATATGTTTAACAATAGATTAACACCCTGGAAAGGTGTACTACTGTACGGGCCACCTGGTACAGGTAGTCAATCATGCAAGAATAAATCGAACTTTACAAAACTTTCGTAAATGTCATGATTCCCAGTAAATAATAAACTTTTCGTTTCTAGGAAAGACAATGTTAGCAAAAGCAGTTGCGACTGAGTGCAAAGCAACTTTTTTCAATATCACTTCCAGCTCTCTCATTAGTAAGTGGCGAGGCGAAAGTGAAAAGTACGTCCGGGTGAGTGTTAAACAGTTTTCTCCCAACCGTTTGTCATAATTTTATTCCAAAATGTATACTTTTCGAAGGTACTGTTAGACTTAGCTAAATACTACGCTCCTGCGATAATATTCATTGATGAAGTTGATTGGACCGTGAGCGGAGGAGGTAGTGACACAGGAAATAATAAGTCTGAACCGAGCCGAAGATTCCGAGCGGAACTGTTGGCTCGCCTTGATGGTCTCTTATCGATGGAAAATGCTAACGTACTTTTATTAGCGGCTACGAATGTTCCATGGTAAATAAAAAAATATATCTTATTGTCAGAAAATAAACGTATTAAAATTAATTTAATATCTTAGAAATGTATTTCTTTTGAAATTATGTTAATTTACGCAATTTAATTTATAGGGAATTGGATACGGCTTTACTACGACGACTTGAAAAACGTATTTACGTAGGTTTACCGGATGAACAAGCAAGACATCAAATTTTTAAAGTTTACCTGAAACCTGATCTGATGGACAAATTGGAGTATAAAACTGTATTAAACAAGACTAATGGTTATTCGTGCGCAGATTTAAAACTGTTATGTAAAGAAGCATGGATGATGCAGCTTCGTCCAATATGGGCTTACTTAGAAAATAAGAGTTTATCTTTAAAGGATTATAAAAATGATGAAGGTGTAAATGATTTGACTTACATAACAAAAGCCATGAGTTCTATCAAACCGATTGCTCAAATTACACAATTAAGATATTCTAAATGGGATAAAAGTTTTAATCAACAAGATGATGTAATGATGAATGAATGTAGAACAGATAGAACAACTGAATGTAGATACGTAGAATATGATAAATGAATGTTCGGCAATATCTATTAATAATAAACGATATTATTCAAATAAAAATATAATATAATGTAAAAAAGCTGCAGTCTACATTATAAACCGTATTGTTTAAATATATTAAATATGTTTAATAAATTTTAGGATACATAGAAAAAAAACTGGCTATGATTTTGTAGAAAGTAATATTTTATACAAATTTAACTTATAATACTTTACAATTTAAAAAGTCTTCAATTTCATGCTTGTTATTTTTTTCTGTGTCCTTGATTACTCTGTACTTGTTTCATTCCATGATAGTATCCTGCAATTAATATTCATACATAAGATATAATACAGAACTAGCTTCAATGATATTTGTGTAATATAAAAGATCGCGGCTATGTTACTCATATACCCATTGTATAACCATCTAATTAGTTAATTAACAAATATTTAGAAATGCAACAATAACATTTTAATATAAATTATTTTTTAAGTCAAGAAAAAGTATAATATGAAACTCTTCACATATTTGTTTTATAATTTATTACAATTTTTAATAATTTATTCTAGTCAAAATTTTGTAACAAGTTCTGATATATTCAATCAATGAGCAACACAGTGGCTCCACATTTATTCTATTGAAATCTGTGTTTGTTTCAAACATGCTCATTAGTTAATTATGAAACTATAACTCACCAGTATGAAATCCACTAATGTACCATGACATTAGCATACTTGACAAAGCATCTGCATCATTTTCAGGTAACCTGCAATGAATTAATTCAATACATATGCAGATAATATATTTATACTTATATTTATATTTATATATAATAAAATAGAAATTAACCTAGCCATAAACTGTGGTGGTAGTGGTGGTGCTGGAGGTATTGCTCCAAAGTTAGGGTTAAATGAAGAACTTGGATTGTAAAAATTTTTAAATGATTTAATTTCATTTGTTTCATAGTCCATATTTTCTTGATATCCATTTGCTATATGAGATTCATCATCTTCTAAATTAGCAGAATTTTTTTCTGCTTCTGCAGCTTCTTTTTGTTGAGCAATTTGACTTTGTAAACCCTCAGACTCTGTGAGTGAATCCAATTTAACTTTTTCTATATTCTCATAACCTGTAAAATCATGCAATTATATTTCTATAAAAACTTCAACAATCATTGTTCAAATGTTATGTTAATATTTAGACAGTTAACAATGATAGTCAATTTAAGAAAATGCAATATATAATTTTGCAGTTATTTAAAAAAAAAATCAAGGGTTATGGCAGTGACCTATGGCTGAATGCTAGAATTATAATAGACTTATCAATTGATTCACAATATTATTACCAATAAATTTAACTATGCATGTCTTGGAGTCGTCAAAGATTTTTACAATCACAGCTTCATAAACTATACCATCTTCTGAATAGACAGCTCGGCATGGAGATCCGACACACCATCTCTTAAAAAAAAATAAAAAATTATAAATGAACATGTAAAAGATATTGACTTTGGAAGATTTACCCTTTGATTTTTTTGTGATGTAGCCTTGTGTTTACTTTTGGTACCCGTGGAATTTGTACTTGACATTGCAGCTGACTGTGGATTCTCCAAACCCAAACGTTTGGATACTTCTTCTTTTGCTTTGTTGATTGCCTTATCGTAGGCTTTGATCAAAGCAGTATCATCCCAGAGTTCATCTTGTTCTTGAACCCAATGTTCAGCTTAAAGTAAATAAATTTGTAGACGACAATACGCTATATCATAAATCATAAATTATTTAAAAAGCTCTGTTTTAATCTATACGGTATTGTTATTAAGCAGTGAGAAAGATAGCAAAACATAACCTAAATTTCACGAAAACGTGATACTTACTTGTATTATTGCTAGATCTACAGAATAATAGATTATCGTCCTCTGCCATCCTGTCTTTTCTTCCTATTACTTCTGGAATAACTTTCAAATATTGTTAAGAACTTGCAATAATTAATATTTATGATAAAAAACTAATAAAACCATCGCTCAGGACTCTTTTCAAAGTCCTTAGGGCTCATGGCTCAGATCAAACTGCAGTGCTGTTGTGCTGGGCTCAGCAGACTTGACTTGAGAGCAGACTGCAGAGGCCATTAGCCAAAATAAGATAATATGTTAATTTTTGAGTTCAGGAGCGCTCTCTGTCGGCTAAGAATAATTGGAATGATCGTCTGCTATAGTAGTACTGTATCCCCTAGTCTAGTCCAGGCGCGGGATTGGATAACATTCGTCAACCGAACACAAAAACACAAATTTCGATGTAACTAATTTGATAAAATTACAAATGTTTCTTATCATTCAATATTTTCAGATATTTTCTCATTTTTTAATGGCATTCATTTTTGTATGTTGATTTTACATTTACTTATCATTACATTTGGTTATTGCAATAGAACTAAGTTTCCAGGGCTGTGTAAGCTCGATAATCAAACTAAGCTTACTGGGTCACTCTTTTTAATGCTCCATAGATTTCTATTAAGGAATTGTTCTAAATGTCAATTCTTATTTTAGACAAGCTCTGATAAAAAATATATAATTTATGCAACAGAGCTACCAAAAAAATTTTAAAATAATCTGAATATAGTGATTTAAAAATGTTTCAGTGACGTAGCATGAACAGCGAGAAAAGATAATGAGAAAATGATTTTTCGAAATGAACGCCTGGAGCCTTCATGAGAATCGTAGCGCTAATTCGATTGCGAGAGTAGTAGAAGGTATCTCGGACAGAGAGTGTGAGGTACGCAATAGATGCCAGAATATAAGTAAAGTCGTGCGCGTGCCGAGACTGAAAGGAGCCTCGGGCGCGCGTGCGAAGCGACGCCGCGCGTCGCCCACCGCGAGTTGTATTATTGATCAATAAGAGAGCTCGCGCCAGCTAGTAGCGAGAGCGAAAGAGAACGACGACCGACCGCTGCTGGCCTGGCATGGACGATTCGTGCCCCCCGTGCAACTGAGTTCTGCAGCTATCATACAACGCGTTTCGACGACAAAAAACAAACGTCCGTTCGGAGTTCTTTCGCTCGGCGCTGCTAAACGCCACAGACCGATACGCAACATTTAGTCCAATTGCAAATCGCAAAATCGTTAAAAGCTTAAAGTTAGCCGAGCGGCGGAGCTCAAGAATCAACGAAAACGGTGTCAGAGAGAAGAGAGAGGGGGTGCACACTACTATACGAAGGGTGAAAGCAGCGCGACGATCATGCGACGACGGCCACTTTGAGCAAGTGAGAGAGAGAGAGAGAGAGAGAGAGAGAGAGATAGAGAGAGAGAGAGAGACAGACAGAGACAGAGAGAGCGCGCGCGCGAACGACTGACCGACAAAAAAAAATAATAAAGGAGTACCATCGTCGGCCAGCCGAGTGATACGGGTGCATTTTCTCCGTTCTAAATTTAAGGCGCCGGACAAGTGGAGTTTCTCATGCAGACGCTACGCAAGAAAAATAGCCCATGCAAGCGTGAGTATATTGCCTTTAAACACATTATTGCATCCACTACACAGTTTACCCTGCTCTTTTGCTTTTCATTGCTTGTTTTTATTCAGCTCGCGTAGCTTGGCGATGACGTCCCGCTTCAACTGGATGTTTATCCATTCAATTTTTTTTTGGCATATGAGTAATTACTGGGCTTGCCAATGTTTGAAATCCCGAGAAGAATCTTATTTTGTACACGTGAATTAGGTTGCAATGCTCGTAAAACTTTTTTATTATCGATTGTTTTACTTTTCAACTATTCTGTTCAACTGGGCTGTTTCTTTTTTCTTTCTATTCAATACATAACGCCACTCGAATGGAAAGCATTAAATTGAATGGAGCATAATAGCGGAAAAGATTTCTTAAAATTGGTGAATATGCATGTAGACGGTTATTTTCAGCTGATTTTGCATGAGCTTTCGTGTTGTTTAGACCAAGTCTGCTTTACCCTCTCGTTAGGGGTTGATTCACGCGGGATATGTCGGTTAGATGGCGCCACCGGTACTTCGAAAATAAGCTCATTCTTTGTATCATGGCAATGTATTTCCGGATAAGCCAAGAAAAACTGACTAATACTACCACTAAGCACATTCTCGAGATTGGTGATACCTTTGTAACAAAAGAAAATTATGCATCGATGTATTATTCTCCATCGCTAGGAACTAAGATAAAATGAAGAATATCGCGATGCGATCAAGTATAATATTTGTCTTAGCTTAACGAACAGAAAAATGGAACAGAAATTAGAAACATCGATTGCTTATTGAAATTGTGCATCTATATTTATATAAAATATTCCATCTATGTCGACATTTTTCTGGTAGCTAGAAAATTACAACTAATGTTATCGAATAGTTTTTTGTAAAAACCTTAATTTTTTTAAATGAATTTGCCGATTTTAATCTTATATCTACACCCCAGCATTCAAACTACATTCAAATTGAAATGCATTCTAGCATAGGCAAATCGATTATTCACTCAGAAACTTTGAACGTTAGCTGTCTAATTAGCGGAGATTTATTTAATCGAGTTATCGAAAGTTTCCTCATATAGCTTTCAACAATTGCGTAAGAGGCATATTAGCTCCAACTTTTGTGAGGCGCTAATGAGAAAGAGACAGTAAAAACGTACTGATAACAATTTATCTCGTCGTCTGCGCCGACAGCATATAATTCATATCGCATGATGATGATTATTTGCGTCATAATCAAATGAAGGAACACAGAACCCGTATGAAAATAAAAAAGGAAATAACAAGCCGACAGGGATAATCCGCCAATGTATATACGTGCAATTGTGCTTTTCAGGCATCGATACTACACCTTCAATTACACTGAAGAGCGCAACATTATCGTAATGATTGAATCGGATAACCGAGGGAGGTCTGATCTACCCGCTCGTATGCATATATATATATTGGCCGTCTATCAGACGCATCTGGCTTAAGAGAGGCTCAAGTGGCTCTAGAACGACGCGTAAAGATTGCGACCTGGCGAGGAGGGCCGAAAAAAAAGAATATACATATATCAGTATAACTACTCCCCCCGTAGATCATCAAGTGTCGACAGTTGGCGTTCTCCACTCGAGCGCCAAGGCACAATCGTGCAAATCATACAAATGCACCTCTTTGGTCGGTGCGCTTAGAAAAAGTTTTTGCAGAGAAAGCTTAGTCAAGTGTCTTCGTGCCTTTGTCGTCTATCGGATGATTGTTATTTGATGAACAAATGTATGTCTGTGTGCCTTTCATCGCTCGTCAGTCGGCGTTTTAAATCAATCAAAATAATTGAAAATCATATTATTGATTCAGCTTGTGATTTAATTTTGCCAGCGAATAAAATACAATCAATGTATCGACAGCTAAGAAAGAGTGCACATTGAACATTAGGCTTCAAAATTAGTGAGAAAAAGGCCACAAAGGATTTTCCAGGTGATTAGTTACAAGCCACGAACAAGTTAAAAAGCTCAAGGCAACAACGACGCGGGGCTTCCAATAGATCTATTGGCGTTTCTTCGAGCAGACGTAAATCGATCTAGCTCTTTTCCTCTCTCTCTCTCTCTCTCTCTCTCTCTCTCTCTCTCTCTTTCTCTCTTTCTCTCTCTCTCTCTCGTTGACGACTTAATTCGTTTGTGCCTATATCCCTGGTATACATCGGGGCGTCCCACCCCCCGCAAGGCAAAACTCAATTTGATCCCCCGCGTTCTTGCGCGCGCGAGTGAGCGAGCTTGGTACTGTGATTGCATTGGCCGACACAGAGACAGCAGCAGTAGCTCGTAGGGCTGACGCCGTACACTAGCTAACTGACAATAAGTTGCCAGCGAATAGCTTCGTGCCACGGGACAAAAACCAATGGGGACGCGACGACTCGATAGATATATAACGGGATATTCAGCCACAAAGTAACTTCAAGTGATACCGTCTGCTGCCATCGCACCAACGCCACGCTCGATACTCGTCCAACTCCATTAATAATTCAAATTCGCTCTTCGGAGATGTACGCCCTAGTGTCAATTTCAATCAAGTAACCATTCGGAAAATTTTTCACCGGATATCGCATGCATTTTCAATGAATAAACGTCTATCAAACCTTATCCAATATAGCAGCCTACAACCGCTGTGTAACATCTGTATCAGTTTCGCTTGATATTTGCTATGTTCTTTCATATAATTTTCAATTTTTTTACTCGTTATTTTCGATTAATGAGATGAGTTTCTCAAAAATTCACTTTGTTTCAGTGAAAAACGAACCCGGCCGCTTTATGGGGGAAGGCGTGTCTTTCAAAGCAAAGCTCATCGGTATCTTAGAGGTATCAGAGGCTCGAGGAGATCGAATGTGTCAAGCCGCGCTTGCCGATTTAAAAATGGCGATAAGAGCTGCTGGTGAGCACAAACAACGAATCACTGTTCAGATTAGTATCGATGGACTTCGCTTGAGGGACGAAAAAGCTGGAGTACGTAATATTTTGTTAATAAAATAATCGGTCACGGTATATTATTGTTCATTTGTTAAAAAAACATTCATTTTATTTTCAGGACTGTTTATATCACCACCCTGTTCATAAAATATCATTTATAGCACAAGATATGAGCGACAGTCGAGCATTTGGTTATATTTTTGGTTCACCTGATACTGGTCATAGATTTTTTGGAATTAAGACTGATAAAGCTGCGAGCCAAGTAAAGATATATATATTTTTTACTATTGACATTAAGTTAATTGTATTATGAAATATATTTTGATATGATTTCAGGTTGTCATTGCCATGCGTGACCTTTTTCAAGTTGTATTCGAACTGAAGAAAAAAGAAATTGAATTGGCAAAGCAACATATTGAACACAGTGCTATTCGATGTGGAATATATTCATCTGGAAGATCGCCCGATTCAAAAGTAACTTTAAGATTTTTCGTAATTTGAATTAAGCATTATTTCAGCCATTTATATTATTTTTCTTTATAATAAATAATGAAAAAGGGAGCAGCTGGAAGCGAAACTTCACTTCATAGAACTGATAGCGAAAGGTCTAGAAAACATGATGCACAAGGGGGAGTCGTTGCTGATTTATTGGGCTTACAATTTGAATTGAATTCACTCCAACAAGGTATTCACCAAATGGATAAGATAACTCCTGATAATCCTGGACCAGTCGAAGATCCATTTGAATCAGATCCTTTTGGAGATTCTTTTGCAAACATGAAGGTAAATAATACTAGTATTATTTTTTATAAAAATCAATTTTAGATCACATTAATAGTAAAAGACAATTCAAGCAGATTCAAGAGCAAGTTCAACCAAAATTACCGCCACCGCCTTCATCAGCCAAACGTGGACACATGGAAAGACAGCAGACTTTAACACAAACACCAGCTTCGGGTACATCTAGTCCAGCTAATGTAACTAATAGTAGTAATAAAACCCCGCCTCCATCTGGTTCAACTCATTGGTTTGATAAAGAAACTGAAGACTTATTCAACGAAGGAGAATCATCTAATTTACCACGAAAAAATTCATCGAGCGATGAAGATAAAGAACCAGTAAGATTACAACGTGATATTAGAATTTCGGATGATATAGATTTTTGATATTAGAAATATGTAATCAAATTACTAACAAAATTGTATTTCTCTTTTTAGCCTTCGACAACAACAACACAGGATCGTTATAAACAATTGGATTTATTCTCCGAACTAGATCCTCTAGGTACAGGTATTAAAAAACCTTATGTAGATAAAAGAGACTTTTTCCAGCACTTAAAAAATCCACCGAAAAAGATCTTGAAAGACTTAGCCTCAACCAATTCTGAAGATACATTCCCCACTAATTTTAATATTACATCTGATTCAATAGAGTCTAGTAATGCCAATACAACTGAGCAAGAGACGAGTCAATTTGAAGATAGAGAGTTTGCTGAGTTTGATAAGTTTAAGGATAAAGATGGAAAAACTTCGACAGAAAAAGTTTCACCAAAGCCTCGCCATAACGATTATAATAAGAGAACGATTCAACACCAATCCTTATCCGTTTCATTGCCACCTGAAGAAACTTCTAAAAATGCTTCACATAATTATTCTATGTCAACTTCCATAACTTCTAGCCGTTGTGATAGCAAAGATTCCAGTGAGACTACCCAGTGTTTAGTAAAATTACCTAGTCCAAAAAAGTATATGCATTCTTCACGTAAAGATTATACCTCTGAATATGCTAGTAGTAAGTCTCAGTCAGTAGACAAGTCATTTCCCATTGATTTTTCTTCTACAAGTGATTCGCCAGCTTCTCCAATGAGGTCCTGTTCATCTGGTGCTAATTCTAGATTATCAAGTTCAAGTGCAGAAATGGAGAATGTTCCTGAACCTCCTCCGAGAGGTGCTGGCAGTATTTTGATCAATCCTCCGCCATTACCTCCAAAAAAATATAGTTCACGTAGCGGAATCAAACCACCCCCGAGGCCACCCCATGGAGATGGATACTTTCATTACGACTTTTTGGAAAGAGAAGAAACATCGCCTTCACCTACTAGAAAAATGCGTGGTAGTGAATCTCCTAAAAATTCAAGAAGTCGATTCGATGATAATTTCAGTCCACCACTTCCACAACTACCTAAAAGATCTGATACTAGCTCATTTTCAAATTCTAGTTTTGAAGATTCATTTAATTCTATAATCCAATCACCAAAAATCATAAATACATCAGCATCAAATAAGTCAGACAAAAATTTGGAAAATTTAACAAAAGATATAACATTGAGTCAGCTTACATCAACTTTCTTAACAGATTTAGCAGAAAATCTTGGAATGTCAGTTGCGGAAGTAACGAGCTTAACCTTACAACAGTTAACAGAATGTATAGAATTACTCGCTAAAAAAGATAAATCTGATAATAATAAGACTTCATTCTCAGAATCAATCTTAACTTCATCAAAAAATGTCATTAATGATGCAAATGCAAACAATCAAAAATCAAAAGATAAAGAGACTTCGTATGTATCAAAAGAACCACTTTTCAAAGCTGCATTTGATTCAGTACCAAAAGTAGAAAATTCAAATAATTATGATAAATATGCTGTTTTTCGAGAATTGATTGAAATGGAGAAAGCCGACAAGGATCTCGATACTCCAACGTCGCACGAAGATGAAGAAACTATTACGCCAGAAAATCAAGAGGAACCTGGGGAGCTTGAAGATGACGCTCAAAGCGATGAAATAGATGAAACAATCGCTTCCCTAGTAAATTTAACTGTTAAATTGCCCCCTGTCGCTGAAAATCAATCGAAAGAAATCTCGACATATTATGAAATGAAGTCAAGTGAGGAACGTAGCGATTCTCCTAAGGAAAGCGAAGGAGGTGCTCCAGAAGAAATTGAATCTGAAGATCAATACCAAAGTAAAGATAATTTAAAGAATGATGAATTATCTTCCGATTCAACAAAAGATGTAAAAATAGGAAATGATGATATAAAAGAAAAGCTTGAGGACAAGAAGACATACGACGAGTTGCAAGAGTCATCTGACACATTCGTAATCACGGCTGAAGAAGTTAATGAGTTATCTAGGATTATTCATAAAAAATTAGAAAGAAAATCATCAATTACTTCGTCTAACGATAGATATGCAGCATTACGTGAAATAATTGAGGAAACCGAACAAGTGCCATTGAAGGATGCTAATATATTAACTTCACCAAATAAAATGGTATTGAAATCTTCAGCTGAGGTAGATTTACAAGGTTTGTTTTCAGATAATTTTGCTCAACAGACAATATCGATATCAGCGAAAGTAACAACGAAAAAAGATGAAGATATAAAATCTAATGTTATGGATATATTTGAAGAAATAAAAATGTTAAATTCAGATGCGCATCGCACCAAAGATAATAAGCCACTACCATCTTCTAATATAGATGCAATGTTTGCTGCATTTTCAGACCCGAAAGCAGAAAAAGAAATCGCCGTAGATGATGATAACTGGGCTCAATTCGAAACAAATACCTTTCAGTCTGATAAATCTGTAGTTGAAGGTCCAGGATCCTTTGGAGGTACGTCTCCTTGGTCTCCTGATGGTAAAGAATTTATTCGTGAAACACCTCTTAGAAGAAGTATCCATCGGCATTCGGGTGAAAGTGATTTTGATTGGAAAGATGACGAAAGCGAAGAAAGCAATGGAAGAATTAAAGGAGAAGGACCTCGATATTCAAGACACCCACGATATGACTTACCTCCTTTTGAAGAAGGTCCGTTTTATGAAGAACCTGTAGATGAAGAAAAAGATCGAATTTTCCGAGAGCGGATAAGTCGTAAAACAAGAGGAGCACCTTGGATAAAGGGTGGACACAGGCCACGAGAACCAATGAGTTGGCATGATGAAGCGAGATGGGAAGAAGAGCGCAGACGACATATACTTAGAAAAGGTCCGTACAAAAATGATGAAGAGTATAGGACTTACTGGGCAAGTAGGCAAAATCAGAGACCTTGGAATGGTGATCGAGAGGGTTTTTGGGAAACTGACCATCCGTTCTATGAGGAAGATGGTAAACGAAGAATTGGTATGTGGACTGATGAAGAACGAGAAAGTAGAGAAAGATTTAGTAGTCAGGAAAGTATGGGCTACGATGAAGATGATAGATATTATAGAAGGGAATATGATAGACGAAGGTACGAAGATGATAGATATAGGAAAAATCGTGGACTTGAAGGCCCAGAATATCCTCCAAGAGAAGCCTACAAAAAACATGATCCTCACTATGTGCGGGAAGGACGAGATAGACATTACGATTATCCACCTAATTGGGAAGAAGAATACGTATCCAAACGCCCGGAAGATTCACCTAGATATCTTTCAAGAAAAAAACATTGGCCGAAACGACCAAATAGTGCAAATGAAGGACGAGAAATGATATATATGGACGCTAGACCAAAATATGCAATGTCACGGTCCGAATGTAGCGAAAGCGATTCCGATCCTTATCACCGACCTTACAGATCAAGAAGTCGAGATAGTTATTGGGGCAGCGATCAAGAATTTGAAAGTTGGGGAGAAAGATCTTATTGGTCAGAGAATCCAGATGCTAGAGGTGAAAGCTTACATAGAAAACGAATGAGCAGACACAGAGGACGACCTCAGCCAAAACTTCAAAGTTCTCAATTCGAAGATGACTTTACTCAAAGCGTTGATCGCAATGAACCGCCGATAGATCCAATAAGCGCAGAACCACGTATTCGTTCTGATATCGAAATGAAACAACCGACAAGTCCACGAAGTCCACGAGGAGTGAAAGATCAAGGAAGAAAAGATCCAAAAGCTTATAAAGCTTCTAGTTATTTTGACGATGACCTTACGCCCACTGCAAGTGCTTCTAGTGATGCCTCTGATAGACAAAGAATAGGCTCTGATTTGAAAGAAACACCAGAAGAACTACCTTCTGAAGTAAAAGATCCTGTTGGAGATGGTTTTGCTTCCGGTGATAGTGGACGCGATTCCTTTTTCAACGGCGATCCAAGATTCGATGATGATGCTTTTGTATTTCGTTCAGAACTAGAAGACCAAGTACCCGACCAACCCTTAAAAAATTCTAGGCATTTAAAATATTCAAATAGCAAAGGAAAAGGAGATCAGTATATTAAAAAGTCTGAGTCTGTAAACATATTTAGCCGAGAAAATGATCCATTTGACGATGATGAGTTTTTCAATTGATCAAAACAAACGACTGATTTCTTTCGTGCTACAAGACATCGAAAAGGGATCAGTTCATCTTTATCGCGTTCATCTTTGCATAACATGTACGAAATGCAACGCTCTTATCCTTTTGGATACAAGTGAAGTGCATTTTGTATTTGAGGCTGCGCAGGAGAATAATATTTTTGTACCAAACGAAAACAATCGTTCTTTTGCATTTTCTTTCTGTATTTATTTTTTCTTTTTCGTTTTTTTTTTATAATGTAAATAATTTTGATTTAAACTACATTTTTAACTATTAAATATGATTTTAAAAGAAATAACATCATTATCAATTATTCATGAGCAATATAACGAATGATGTATTTTCAGAGAAAGAATGTCATGTGCAATTTAGGGAATTTTTGAAAAAGATTTGTTGCGTGTGCATATGATGCTAATATTGTTTATCGTGTTTTTCAACTTTCAAAAATTTTATGTACTATACTGTTAGTTAGATGTTCAGCCAGCAGAGTTTTTAATATATGAATAATATAAAAGTGAATTTCACAATGAGAGTGGCTAATATTGTAGAATAAATAAGTTTTTTAGGCAAATGAAATTGTTTTCATCCTGCAGTCGATCTATGATATCTCAAATATGTATCGACTACGGTGATAAAAAAGCCACACGTGACTGGAGTAATAATATATAAACTGAGTAAAAAGAGTGACTTACGTAATATGTACATAGTTACAGATATTTGTAATTCCAATAATATTGTTAATGTAGCATTATTGAAGCAGCCATTGTATAAAATGTACATTTCTTTATTTATTTTGATATGTATTTAAAATTTTTTATTTATGTATGTATTTATTTGAAATTATAGTTATTTATTTATTGTATAAATAGACTGTTAATATCTTCTTCAGATACAATTATTGTGCTACAAAATTGTTATATTTGTTATTTTATTGACCTTTTCCAAGTAAATTCCTAAATATATCCCCTACCAACTAAATTAATAAAGATTATCTTTAATTTCAAACAATTAATCTATGGTTTGTTATATCAAAAATACTATCTAATAAATTCGATTTTAGTAGATAGAAATAAACTATTAACGACATATATTTTCTACATGATAAATAGTTTGATTAAGTATTTTGCTGATATATTCACTGACGAAAGCCTATGTACTTTAGCACCTTTTTTCTTTAGCCAGCAAATTTTCTGAATTTCGGGGTCAAAATCGACCCAACGGCTTGACTTGACGGTCATGTATATTAAAATGTTCTTACTGCTCAACTATATTAATAATTTCATTTCATCTCGATCCCGAGTAACACTCAACTGAAGCGTCCCTCCTATTTTGAAATTCAATCGCATGTAAATTTGTTGTATGGCTGAACGATGCGCGCACAGACAGAAAATGCGATGGCACGAACGAGATTGAAAAGAGATCTATCGTATTGCTCAGAAAGAGTTATTGATTTTACTATGCCTTTGAAATTTTAACAAATCAGAGCTTCTCTACTTATATCAAACTGTTTCTATATCTGTATTCAACACCTCGAAAGTTCTTGTGTAACTTGAAATACACGGAGAAAATTTACTCGTTAAAATTAAAATATTACAATAAAATTTACGATAACGTACCGTAATTCTAAGATGACAGCAATGTATCTGTGGAAAGTAAATGTATGCTAGGTCAGTTTTTACGGTATTTACGACACCGTAAAAATTAGTATCGTTCACTTTTCTCACGTACCCACGGTAAATGATTTTTGGTATATCACATGCCTTTAAGCATCCGTTCATCTTTTTCGACTTATCGTCGGCCTACTGAGTTGATATTATGTCCAAAACAGGACTGAACTAGCCTCTAAATTTTTTTAAATGAATTATTGAAATTTTTCCAATGATAACATCAAATTCTACGTAAATCATATTTTTTATTTAACTAATTTAAACATATAAGATGCTGGATACATTGATAGAGGTATATTCATTGGTTTTATAAGTACATTGTGAGGTTGATGAACGACAGGTAGGTGCATACGCGCGGAGTAGTTAAACATGCCCTCAGTAATTAATCCGCGCACCAGGTGCTGTGTGACTGTTACCACAATTTTATCAGTAAACAGTTTCTTCGGATTTGCGACGATTTGCAATAAATGTAATAATCTCACATTTTTTATTTCTATATTATATGTCTTACGTATTTCTTAAAAATGTTTTCATATACATGTCAAAGAAGTAACTTAAGGGCTTATGGTACGGTTGTTCGTGCACTCCCACTCAATCATCCATATAAGAATCGCGAGCAAACGGTAGATATATTCGTTAGTGTGTACGAAGCAAAGACTCCTCTTGGCTAGAAAAAAATCCAAAGCTTTAAAGCAACGGGTCGACAATCCCAATTATAAACATTTCTCGTGGCCTTTTGGAGTTGCATTTGGTAAGAGTGTGCCCTACCGCCGCGTTCTAGCAGTACATTTTGCCAACCACCCCGCGCATCGTGTACCATAGAGGCGCTTAGCTCCCTCGCGTTCTCTTTTATAACAAAAGTACTTTTCGAGACTCGAGTGCACGTTCGCTTGTGCTTGTATGTAAGTAAAGCGGAACCTACAATTGTGTAAGTAACAAGAAATCTTGGGTATTGTTTTAACTGCTGCTATTGCAACGAAAAGTTTAAAAGAAAAATATTACATTTTTTTTATATTATCATTCCTTATTAATTAATTTTTTAATTTTAATTAGATACAATTTATAAATATAATAATTCCTTAATAGAAGATTATTCTGTAAACAGTTACTAGACGAGCTTATAAAGAAAATGAAATGCTCCTGCGGTATTTTAACGTAAAAGGTCTCTAATCTTAAATTTTAAATTTTCATCAAAGTATTACATTTATTGTACATTTGATATTAGATAAAATTGCAATTTCTGTTTCTTATAACTGATTATTTTTTTTAATTTAATATCTGGAACTCCTTTTTAGTGAAATCCCTTAAACAATATATCGCAATCGTAAAAACCATTACTGATTAAAATCAATCGTGATTATTGAAAATAATGAAACCTCGGTAAAGATTTTATTAATAATCTGTACATTGATTGAAAAATTAATTTATAAACCTTTCTTTGAACTTTTAAAAAATTCATTGGTAATTTACGCTTGAAAAACTTAAGCTCAAAATTGACACAGCTTTTTGCGATGCATATATGTTAAAATTAACATAATTTATGGCCAAATCGGTTGAAAATGGCTATCAGGGTACTCGTCAGCTCCTCTAGTTTATTAATCGTTGAATATGTAAAAACAGCTTGCAAGCATTAATCGTGTCTGTTATGCAACCATTGCAAATCGTGCATGCATTATAAGTTGGCTTGAAGCCACCGCCGCGTGTTGATCCACACTTGAGTTGCCCTGAATATTCATAAACGCATTTTCCATCATCACTGGTATGGTAATCCTTACAGCTCGCGACAAGGATACATGCATCGGCGGGCGAGGAATGAAACGCAAAGAGGAAAGAAAGGGCAAGCACAGGTTCGTGGCTCGCGGAAGGGAGTGATGATTTGTTAGCGAGGGTGCCCCAAATGCGCGAAATCCCAGAGAAGTACGCGTTCACTCGCTCGCTCTCTCTGTCGCATTGTTTTCTTGTTTGCCAGGTGTTTCGAGTGGCGCGCGTGGAGTGCGACTGCGCGCCATTGTCAAGTCGTCGTCGCCGTCGACATCGGTGGCGGATGGCGTGCAAACGTCGACAAAGCTCCCCACAGCCTGCCTAATGCTCTTTTATTGTGCATTGTACGCTCCAAACCAAGAAGTATAGCGAACGCTGCCCGAGTGGGACTTTGCACGCCGAGCCGCTGTATGTATACGAGGGGAAGGGGAGTTTGCTACTGCTGTGCCTCTGTGTACGTACAGATGCATTTACGCTAGGTGCCTCAACCTGCTCTCTGCTCGTGCACGATTTCCTTTTCCCGCAACACGGGGTCAGCCATCTTCGACGCAGACTTTCATTCGCGAACAATCACGAACAATTACAGATAAAACGATGGGGAGCTCCGAGTATGTTTGGTCATACTCTTCGCTTCTGTACACTCGAAAAACATTGAAGAAAAATCAATGCTGCACACAAAGCTCGACGTCAATTTCGACCTATATGAATCACGAGATCTTTTTTTTCGGTTTCTGTACAGCTGCTGAAATTTCAGTTTTGCATTCGGCGCCGTCGTACTCGCGATATTTTCTTGACAAACTTGATATGACAATACCTGTATCGTACAAACACGAGTTGTAAACGCCTATGGCATTTTATACGTTCAAACAATATAATATTAGCAATTGAAACGTTTATTCAAATATCGTAATATGTATGATAGTCCAAATGTATGTTATTATCTGTAAAAATATTGCCATAGTACAAATAAAATAAGCTTCTTTATCGTACAAAATAATGGCTTGTACGAAAAGTTCTAAATGCAACTACTGACCTAGCTACGTCAAGTGATATAAAAAATTCTTATTGACTAATGAATAGTTTACTTGGTAACATGCAATAGTTTTTAATACAACAGCGTTATCGATACATAGAAAAAGAAATCTTACTTATTTAACTAGAGCACAACGGTTTAGAAAAAATTCTCTTGTAACAAAAAAAAATTAACTTATAATAAGAAAATTGCTCAAGAAATCCTCTCGCCGAGAGAAAATTTGCCTTTCAGTGCCCATTTTGAAATGTCTTTTGGATATCTGACGACAATACTGATAAAACAGATACCAAAGTGACGAAAAAAACATTTTCGCAGTAAAAACTATTTAATTTGAAGATTGTGAAAGAAAAGTAAAAATAAAAAAAAAATTAGGTTCGCTTATTAAAGGCATTGTTAGCGAAGAAGGCAAAGAAAGACGATTAATCATAAACCAGGCCTGAAAGTTTGAAAGTTTATGGCATAAAGTGCAGGAGGGAGAAAAAGCGCGAGAATAAAGCAAGTGTAGGGCGAAACAAGGAGAATAATTTCTTCGGTGGAGGAGCTACATAGCGAAAAAAAGTGAGCGAGATAGAGAGAGAGAGAGAGAGAGAGACGAAAAGTTCTCCCTGGCGCGCCGGTTAGAGCAGCAGCACGAGAAAAGTGGCATCTTTGAAAAGATGCAAAGCCGACAGTATTCTTTGTGACGGGCAGAAAATGCCTCGGCGTAGGCCTCTTCACACTCTCTTTTTTTGCTCGCTGCACGTTATCGTCCTTCAAGACAGCCAAGTAAGAAAGCCAAGCCCCCGCGCCAGATAAAAGATAAGCCCGAGACAAGAAAGAAGCCTCTTTTCCTTTTCTGTGTGCACACGCGCGTGTGTGTGGGCGAAAGTCTGTGATCGCGCGCGGGCGAGTGTGTACTTCTCTCTTCACCGGCGTTTTACAAGCTTCCCTTTAGGGGCGGGATATTTACCAATATCCAAGATGGCGCCACGTAATCTTTCAAGCTCTCTTTATCTCTGTCGCTCTTCCGTGAGAAGAGAAAGAGAGAGAGAGAGAGAGAAAGTCGACCAGTCATCTCTTGCGTCGCCGTCGTCTTCGACTTTTGCTTAAAGTTCATCCGCAAGCGCAATCCTCAAGGAGGCGTATTGTCGCACAAAAGGCAGGCCCTAGTATTTACATACGATGATCAAGGCTCTGCTAAGCATGAAAATTACTCTGGGAAATAGATTTTCGTGTTACGCCCGCGTTACTTTACAAAGACGAACCTGGCGACATAGTTCGATTGAACTGGCAAGATTAAAGCTTTTCTCGTTATTTTATCACTTTTAGTGACAATAAAATTACGAGACAACAAACTTGAATAGCCGCTCTTATAGGTCTACGATAAGAAGCACGGGATTGAGTGCCACGGTATGCGGAATTCGCAATCCTTTGGAATCTGAATACC